CAGGGTTTCCCAGGCAGTGTGACTCCAGATTATGTCCCTTTTCAAGTATGGGACTCTTTGCAGGTAAAAAAACAAAGGAAAACATTGAGGGGCAGTACTTAAGTTATTAATCCTTGCTGACTAAAGTTTCAATTTTTTGTTTACATTACGTTTGTAGGGACTTTCAACATACATAAGAACAATGCTTTCTACCCAAGTAAGGGTTAAATTCAATTGGTATTGGATTTCTTCTGAATTGTGTATAGAATACAGACTCTATGCTACTGATTTCTGTATTTTCTTTTGTTTACTTTAACTTCTTTCTCAGGCACTTTTGAGCGCAATTGGAGTTGGTGAGAAATCAGCAACTATTATTGGTGCAACTTTTCAGGTAGAATTGGCATCCAGTATTCATTTCTATATCAATTTGTGCCCTATTCTTTTACCTGATTTCTTATTGTTGGGACTTTTATAGAGTCCTAAATGAGTTGGAAGTGAGTTTAAGCCTTGCTGATGGTAAGTTTTGATTATTGCAATTCTTGCAGTGGTTCTTGAGAGATCTAACAGGAATGCTTGGAGGCATCTTGTTCACATTTTATCAGGTTTGCTCTTTTAAATTTCCTTGATTTCATTTTCCTTCCTTTCTGAAAATGGCTTTTCAAGTTCACATGGAGAATGTAACACTGTAATGCTTTTCTTTAGGGCTCAAATCTTGACAGCAATGCTAAAATGTGGCGTTTGGTCGCAGATCTCATGAATGATTTAGGTATGTCACTGTTTCTTCTACAGAATTTGCCTTTTAGCACAAATGAATGACTGCAAATCGTTGAACCCTCTCTCTCCCCCCTATATGTATGCATTTATGCGGTGCAAATATATGCTCATTGACAGAGGGTAGTACACACATGTGGAGGCTGCTCTGATTCTTTTGCTCTGAGATATAGCTTGGGCTATAAGTTTGTTGCATAATGGCTCTTATATTCCAAATTAGAGCTAGAAATCTCATATTAAGGTGAATTAAATTAGACTTTCCCCCTCTATGAATGATACCTCGATTTGCCTTATTCTAAACTCTTGGAAGGACCTACATGATAGAATTCGATTTCCATATAATTTTAAATGAAACCAGTACTGATTATATATTTGGTTGCTGAGAGTATTACTGGTTTTATCATCTCTTGAATTTTTAACTTCAACTAAAAACTAGGCTTCTGTGTTCATTGCAGGAATGTTGATGGATCTTCTTTCTCCTTTGTTTCCTTCTGCTTTTCTTTTCATTGTTTGCTTGGGGAGCTTGTCAAGATCATTCAGTAAGTTTCTATATTCCAGCTAAGAACTTTTAACCACTGAGTCTACTGAGACATGCTACATATCAGGTCTTTTGAGCCATTTGTACATTGCAAAATACAATTTCTATGTAACACATTTCGTTTTTGCAATAATCACTTTACTACCAATGAAGTTTCTTCTTATTGTGTAAAAAGTGAAACTATTTCTGTTGTGGAGGAGGCTCAATTTGAACTTCTAATTCTGTGTTTTCTGACGTCGTTTCCCAACCCAGCTGGTGTTGCCAGTGGAGCAACCAGAGCTGCTTTGACGCAGCATTTTGCCCTCCAAAATAATGCAGCAGATATATCTGCCAAGGTATCTCAAAAGTGTTTCCAATGTTGGTTGACAATGGCAAGAGCTATTGTGTAAAGAGCTGGTTTTGACTTTTTGAGGACTGATTACTCATTTTTTTCAAAAACATTCGCAGGAAGGAAGCCAAGAGACAATGGCAACAATGATTGGCATGGCATTGGGAATGCTTGTTGCACGCATTACTACGGAAAATCCACTAGCTATTTGGTTTTCTTTTCTCTCTCTGACCATGTTCCATATGTATGGTAAGTTTGGTGACATAGAGTCTCTCTGTAGTAGATAAATACAGTTACAATTTATATGGGTCCTGGAGAAACTTTGCTCTTAATAACCACTAAAAAGATAATATCCATTGTAATGCCCATCTCAAAGAGGAAGGCTAGAAATAATATTTCTTGTTCTTTGATCTTTGCACCTTATAGAGGGAAAGATGTAAAGGAGAATGGAGGGGAAGGAAACCTTTGGATTGGGGCTGAATCCAAAATAAATTTATGATGCTAGTTACTTCTTTAGTGCCCCACCTCTTCCTTCTGAAGGTTATAATGTTTCCTTATTAAAACAAAAAGGTGGGAGGTGAAAGTCCATTTGTAGAACTTTGCCTGGACTTTGACTATAGTAGTCTCTTCTAGCTAGGAAATCTGTTAAGAGGATCTTGGTGGGCTTGCAAATGCAGGAGACCTGTAGACACTTACTCATGATGGGCTCAAGTAATAGCCTGTCCACAACTCTGCCTTAGCATAGTGATCTACAACTGTTGGTCCAAGAGCAGCAGGCATCTCATGACCTTCATTGACTTCCAGTGAGAATTAAAAGTCATAGCATCTTGCCCACAGGACCAAGTAGAAAATGCTAGGTTTCCACACCTTAAAACAGTCTCAAGATTATTTTATCAAAAAGAACAATATTTTCAGACATATCAAGACCTATTTTATTTGGATTATATAGTATATTGAAACAAGTGTAATAGTGACCAAAATTTTATGCTGATGTAACTGATCTTTTATTTTCTTCTCTCTAATTGCATAACTAACTGATGATTTGCCCATTTCATTGTTAAGCTTACATGCAATTCCTGTTCTTTTCCCCTTTGCTTAGCAAATTACAAAGCTGTCCGGTGCCTTGCTTTAGATTCACTGAACTTTGAGAGGAGCTCAATTCTTCTACAACATTTCATAGAAACTGGCCAAGGTAATAACCACAACCTGTCACTATTATTTCCTTTAGGCTAATATTTAGTAAATTGTTGTCCTGGATTCAACTGTTGTAAAAAGCTGGCTATCATTGTCTTCCAGTCATAAACAATAAAGATCGGGGTACTTCATATATTTGGAGGCAAATTAAAGGTGTCTTGAGTAAATTCTATGTGATATTTCTTACTGGAAAAGCCAGTTTACTTTGCATAAGAACCATAATCTTAAAATTTATTAATAATATCATCCAAATTAATCTTGCAACAACTTGATAGTTAACAACTTCCAAGGGCTATTTGGCAAGAATACACATCCAATTTTATTGCTTCTGCAAGCTCAATATGATTTATTTTTTCATTTTTGTTCCATCATATTTCCAAATTCTGAATGATTTCATGCGCCATCATTTTATTTAAAAATAGATGTTAGTGCCTGTTCCTGAAAACATTTTCAGTTCTCTCTCCTAAACAGGTCTCAACTATGGAGCATGTTTTGCCCTTATGGACCACTTTAAGGTTGTCAAAGAGTGCTAAGTTCCTGCACACACGTGTAAAACTAGGGTTAAGGGTTTCCTCTCTTGATCATCCAAAAATGTGAGTATTTATATTTATTTTTATTGGGGAACAAGGGTTGCCTACCATCTGCATTGTCTTGATAGCAATGATGTTTTAATAGTGCTTCAGCTGTAACTGCCTGAGGCAACATGAAAAAATTTATATTACTGCTTTGCATATCTCGAGAGTTCATGAGTTATCATGATAACTTGATCATGATGCATCTTGATAAAAGTCAGCTTTCAACCTGCTCCTTCAAGATTACTGCTCTTAATCCATTTTTTGATTCTGTATGAAACTGAAAAGTTTAATGATAATCTCAAACAGGGCCAACCTTCTGAATTCAGCTGGATCATTTTATAAGAAAGGTTGAACTTTACTCATCCATCGTAATACTGGACTTTTATTCATATTAACGTTCTCACTCATTCTAGCTATATTCTCATTGGTCTATCTAGCTAAGTATTTCCTGGTGGAGAGGAAGGGAATCATCAGTGTCATCACGCACAAAGATTCAACAGCTGCAGATATCTTGAAGTCATATATTCATGCGCTTGTTATGGCCAATCTCATGGATGAAAAAAGATCTCTACATTTGGAGAGCCAATCATGGATGGATAAGCAGTATGAAAATTTTGTTCAGAAGGTATTATTTCCATGAAGTTTGTCCTCAACGTTAAATAGTTTTCCAAGGAACATCTACATGGATCCTACTGTAGGATATAATTTTTCCAACTTTATTAGCTGCTAAGTTAAATGCCCCAAATGTTTTTTCAATCTCCCTGAGCCTGTATTAGCCAAACTATAGAAACAGAAATTTGGTGGACTTTGCAAAAGATGAAATGATATTGAAAAGTGGTAAGCAAAGTTTAACTCTGGCTTTTGTTCAGAATTATCACAGCAGCAATTCACCTTAAATGGGGAACCAAACTTTTATGAAATATCAGCTCTTTGTGCGTTGTTTGAAAAGCATCTTCAGTACTTGGGACAATGCAATACACCCTTGCATTGTATATTGGGCTCTATCTCAGATGCATCAGCATCTATATCTGGTGTACCACATACTCCAGGCATTGGAGATGAAATTTTTTTTTCATTAAATGGCAAAATATAATGCTTATCAATGTTGTATTATGACCACAATTATTAGGGGATTTAAACTCATCTGGAGACTAGTTTTTCCTTTGTGATAGTTGGGTTGCTTTGCTTCTCTTTCTGGTGGGCTCTTTGTTTTTTCCGGTCAAGATACATCAACTCTTTTTTTAATTTGTTTTCATTTTGCAGCTAAAGTCCTCAGGTTGGAAAACACAAAGGCTTCTCTCTCCCTCAATCATCTGGAAGGCACACTGGTACATTGAGTCATTGGGTGAAAAAACTGACTAGGTATCTTCTGTCTGTCTCTCGAGAATGGTTAGAGTACATGTCATTGATGGCTGTCCTATTGGAGTAAATTAGAGAAAAATGAAGTAGACTGAACTCAGTTTGAGAAGATAACAACATCACCTTCTCATCCACTGCTTCTGTGGTGCAAATAAAAGGACCAGGTTTAAACTGTGTTCAGAGTATGGAATCCAGCGGAGGAAGTTTCAGATCCAATTACAGGTGGTTAAGGGTACCAGTTGGAAGCACAAAAATCACTTAATTATTATGCTTTGTGTATTAAGTATAAATTACCAAAGTTCAACCATTTAATTGAAACTTATTTTGGTTTTGCTTATGGTTGAACATATTATCACTTTTGAATCACTCAATAAGTCCCCTGCGAAACTACAGACAAGGATCAGATTCATTGGATGCACTTTTTCTGATTGCTTGGTAGACTCAAAATGTACTTTCATCAGGTATTTCTTTCCTTTTGTCTTTATCCTAAAACATTATTCATCTGTTATGTGGGAACTGAATATGAGCACGCATGATGGATGCCAGTGATCTATAGGAAGAATATGATGAGAGAAAAAAGTGCCTTATGAGTATAATATCTCCCTTTTAGCTGCTTTGAAACATGTAGCCAAATGTATGTAAATACATATTTAATTACACACTCTTAACTCTTCCAGTTGTATCTTTTAAGCTTGTAGTCAAAGGCAATTGACTACAGAAGAGCCCCTCTTAACGCGAAAGGCCTGGGAAAGAAGCGAACTGGGGCAGTTTCAATATCATCTTTGAAAAGGAGGCAAGAGTTAGCTCCTGAATTGTGCTGACTTGTGAAGGAGAGTTGAACCAATTAGGACCTCTTGAAGTGACTGATTCTCCGGGGTGGTAAAAGCAAGAGTATTGGCAAATTTGCCATCACATAACCACTTATTTTCCTGTTCAACTCGTTTCTTCTTCAAATTTACGGGGATGGCAGCTGCATTGCAGCTTAAACCAGTTGTCACTCAAGGGCAAGGGCAAGCCACTTCTGCGACAGGCCATACTTCTCATAAAGCTTGCTTCTGGCTCTTGTAAGAGTCCAGAAAGGATATCTGGATTAAGGGCATCCTTTGTGACTTGAAGAGAATCCTGTGGTTTCGTTGAATGGCTTACACCTTTCAAGATCTCTTGGCAGAGGTTCAAGGTCGACGAGTATTTTCATGTTGTTGGGGAACCATCGAGAAACATTCCATTCCAAAAGGGTTTTACAAAAGCATAAAACTAACCTCACATTACTACTTGAGCTATTTTGCATCGAAAAGAGAAAAGGGTCTTGAGGAATTATTTCGTTAACAAATAAGCACCATACTAGCCTGGAACTGACTTTATATATGCAATGGTTCCTATAAGAAAAGCTCATCAGTGGAGTTCTCTTCAATCTCTCAGTGGTTTGCTACCTTCTTTTTACGTGTAAGTTGCTCGTTCTCCTTAGGTCATAGGGTGCCAGAGCATCTGGCCATCTGGCGAGAAGGCTATGATGCTTAATTGCTCGTGATCAGCACGTAAAACGCGAAAAGTTCCCCACATGAAGAAACTGCCTCTCATTTCTGTTGCAATATTTTTCAAAAACAAATCAGGTCCTTGCACATGATAAATACTTCTGATAACATTTATTGAAAGCAAATGGAAAATTTTCAGGCTATTAATTGTATATATAATGGGTAATTCAACCCATTGGTTGCATGAATTAATAGCATAAAAGTACGTATAAGTTCAGACCAACAACTGATACAAGTTCATTCTGGGCTAATCTCCTTCAGAAAAACTAATAGCAAGGATACTAGATTTGATTATCAGCATAATTAGATATGCAAAACAGCAAGAACAGGTTTCTCACTCTGAAAATCACTAGGCAACAGTTTAGATGTTAAAACCATCAACTCCACAGATCCCATGCGACTCTTCATCACCGTATCATTCTTCACCATGTACTTTAAAAGGGTGGAATACTTCCTCTTGGAGCTACAACCAAGAAAGCATCCTTTAGACTAATATTATAACCTGTTAACCATTTTCTAGTAAGACTGATAAAATATGAGAACAAACCTCTTAATGCCTGCGGGGTAGAAATACAAAGCTATATTATTGGGATCAGCAATATCGGTTTTGAAAATCTCATGCCATACATCACTGCGAGGATACAGTTTGAACTGCATGAGACCAGCGATCTGTTTTGTGAACTCATAAGCTTTAGGGTTCGCAGTTGCTGCAGGATGAGCAGAAAAACCTTCACAGAATCTGATTTCTTCGGTGATGCCCTGAAGCGTATCTATATCAAGGATCTCAAAGAAACCCCTACAGACAGCAATAACAGTAACAGTGAAAATAACAGCATAAACCTTAAATGTAAACTAATAAAATATACATAAAATGTCGGATGTCTTGGGGCCAGACCACTCCCAAATTCAGTTTATCATCACAGACCAAAGTGGATGAATTAGTGTCAAAAGAACCACCAATGAGTTACTAACAATTGAGACATTGGAGCTTGATAGGTAAGCAGATGTATATTTGACAGACCATAATTGTGCAAAAGAGCTAGCTAGAGAGCATTGACAGTCTAGGAAGAGGGACATGCTAATACTACTGTTCAATTGTAACACAAATCTTTATTTGAATGTTTTATATGTTTTAAATGGTATGCTTTTCTACCAGAGACTTAAGCCCAAGCAGACATGCATATACATGTATCAAGTTCCTTGCCTGCACATTTCTACAAACATTCAGGGAATCCCTGAAAACAATGTAATATATATGTAGAGAGTGTGTGTGTGTGTGTGTGAGAGAGAGAGAGAGAGTATGAAAGAACTATGTGAAATATTAAAAGAACTTCAACAGGATTAAACAGTTTCCTAGAAATAGGACTCGCTTTCGGGAAACTCTCCATAATCATAAGGCTTCCACAAATGATAAATTGCATCCTTCATTAGAAGTAAAGAGAGATGAATGTTTAATTCTACCTAATTGGTTGAAATGTTAATTCAGAAATCAAGTGTAGTCACTGGAAAGCATAAATGGAGCATACTACTTTGTAGATTGGTTATAAATAAATGTGGGTGATGGTTAAATAATGGTTTATTGTTGTTTTCAGCCATGGCTAGATAGGTTAAATTTTATCTTCAAAGCAAACATGAACATCAAATGTTAATGACTTGTTTAAAGTACACCAATACATTACACCCTTAAGGGTAGGGATACTTACTTCCATATTTTTTCCAAAGTAGGAGCACTAGAATTAGATACAATTTTTAGTGAAGATCTTTCTCGACTCCCAGGACTACTAAAATCAATACCTGCTCAAATGAAAGCAACATTTGCATTAGTCCATCAAAATGCAATTTACCTACTATAGCACTAGTTTACTTAGGAGGAATGGATAATGATCTGTACAAAACCTTTAAAATATCAATCAATTTAGAATTTAATTAACTATAAATTAGAAAAATAGATATTCATGGCAAAGAATCATATTATTACAGTAATTGAGATATAAAAAGAAAATTTTTCTACCGAAGTTAAGTTGATCATATACAATCTTTGGTGAAAATTTTTCTTGACTTTCAATATTATTGGTATCAGCACCTGCTCAAAAGAAAGTAACATTTGCATTAGATTATTAATATAATTTATCTACTACAATAATAGTTTACTTAGAAGGAATGGATAAAAGTATAATTTCTAAAATATGAATTCATCGATAATTTAATTAACTATAAATCAAAAAATACCATATTATTACAATATGTGAGATACAAAAAAAAAAAAGTTGTGTACCAAAGTTAAGCTGATCAGATACAATATTTGGTGAAGATTTTTTATAACTCTTAGAATTGTTAAGAGCCACGTCTGCACAAATTGAAGTAACATTTACATTAGATTATCAAAATATAATTTATCTACTACATCACCAATTCACTTAGGAAAAGCGGATAAAGGTATCCAAGATAACCTTTAAAATATCAAACAATCAAGAATTTAATTAACTATAAATAGAATATATTGATATTCCAAGCAAATAGTCATTGTTACAGTAAGAAATCTTTAAAATATTAATCAATTGAGAATTTAATTAACTATAAAAAAATTGATATTTTAAGTAAATGACTATTATTGCTATAAGTGAACTATAAAAATGAAAATTGCATACCCAAGTTAAGTTGATCAAATACAATTTTGGGTGAAGATTTTTCTTGACTCTCATAACTCCTGATATCAGCACCTATTCAAATAGAAACAACATTTGAATTAGGACATCAAAATGTATTTTATCTATTACTCACCAGTTTACTTAAGCAGATTGAATAAAGTTCTCTAATATTTTAATCTCTAAAATATCAGTCAGGGGAGAATTTAATTAACTATAAACTGAAAATATTAATTTTCTTAGTAAATAATCATTTTTGTAGTAAGTGAGGTTCGAAAATGAAATTGTGTACCAAAGTTAAGTTGATCATATAAAATCTTTTGTGAAAATTTCTCTTGACTCTCAAGATTGTTGAGAACAGCGCCTGTTCAAATGGAAACAAAATTGGCATTAGGTCATCAAAATACAATTTATCTACTATATAATCAGTTTACCTAGAAGCAGTGGATAAAGGTTTCCAAGATAACTTCTAAAATATCAATTAATCGAGAATTTAATTAATTATAAATAAAAAATATTGATATTCTAGATAAAAAACAATTATTGCAGTAAGTGAAATACAAAAAAGAAATATATGTATCTAAGTTAAGCTTATCATATATAATTTTCTGTTAAAATTTTTCTTGACATTCAAAATTCTTGGGATCAGCAACTACTTAAATTAAAGCAACATTTACATTTGGTTATTGAAATGTAATTTATCTACTACATGAGTAGATTTCTTAGAAAGATCTGATAAAAGTCTCCAAGATAACTTCTAAGATATCAATCAGTCAAGAATTTAATTAACTATAAATAGAAAAAATTGATATTCCAAACAAATAATCATTATTGCAATAAGTGACATAGAAAAAAAAAGTTATATACCAAAGTAAAGCTCATTAGATACAATGTTTAGTGAAAATTTTTTCTTCACTTTTAATATTCTTGAGATCAGTACATGCTTAAGAGATTCAACTCAGCAATAAATCTCCACTAAACTCACTAGACTTAGTGAGTAAAGAACACCACATCGAAACTGCCACTAGTTAGGAAGATAAAGAGAAAATAATTTAGATTGCTAAGGACGTGGAGGACAAGCTATGGGAAAACAAAATACCAAAAAGTAAGAATAGAAGCAAGGAAGGCAAGAAATATAAAAGAATCATGGAAAATTTAGGAAAACTTGAGAGTTGAGATATGAATGAGTCACTTTCAAAAGGCGATTTTAGAGGAAGCTAATGAGACATGGAAGCTCGGTAAAAGCCTTACTTTCACAACAAATCCTGAAAAAAGCTTAATTTTGGAAAAGCTACAAAAATTGGAGGGCATAACAATGGTAGAAGCTGTGTATTAGAGATTAAAGGCATTGGCTAGAGGCAAGACTGATCAAGAAAAAAGTGTCTGATATGATGCTGTTTGCCGCATGTCACGGGGTGATGGGTACTTGGTCTTTTAAAGCAAGTTAGCACCAGTCTAGCTAGGTATAGCTAAAGGGTTGACAGATCATACGAATAGGAATGTGGCTGATAATAAGATAAAACTTGTTAGAATTAAACTGAGAAAGAATTGAAAACTTAATAAAACAAGTAAAATAGTAAAAAGTTTGAGGTGTGGCAACATTATATTTAAAGATAATTTTTGTCTTTTTAGAATACATGACTCAATGTAAAAAGATTATAACAATTATCCTTTAAGAATCAATAAACTCTTAATTTACACAAAATAGTAAGCGATAGCAAAAACAGTAAAAAAATTTTATAAAAAAAATAAAACATAACAAGAAAAGAAAAAAAAATAGAAAAAGAGTATGCAGAGAAGCATAAAAGGAATCTTTAGAGGAGATGAGAGGATTGGTGTGTTTGTGATTGAGGTAAGTAAGGCAAAGAGTTAACATCAGAGAGTTAACGTTACATAAAATTAGCATAAAATAAAAAAAATCAAATTGTTGATTCAAATAACTTTTAACAAATTTTTGAGACAGATATTAAAAATATTAGGCAACAAACTTAGTCAGCTAATGTTGAAGAAATATCTTAAGAATAAGACTAAGTCAAATAAGTTTAAATGTTTTAACGTTTAAGAATAAGATTAAATCAGATAAGCTAAAAGAGTTAACGTTACATAAAATTACCATAAAATCAGAGGAAATCAAGTTGCTAAGTCAAATAACGTTGCTAAGTCAAATAACGTTTAACAAATTTTTGAGTAAGATAACATTTAAAGTATCATTCAACAAATACTCAAACAATAGACTTAGTCTGACAAAGTTTATATTTGCGCATGAAGGTCGAAATTTGTATTTTCTCAAGATCTAGTCCAATCTCGTGTACGCACAAACTTACTCTTTTTTCTTTACTTGCAACAAGTTTATAATGGATTTTTATATATAAAGTACTCATTTTTTTTGTACCTGGTTATGTAAGATGTTAAAACTTATGAAATATATTATTTTTAAACAAAATTTACGTAAACTATGAGTTAAAGGATTAGTGAGGAGGTTGTATGCAGGGTTTGTGGGCCGTATAGCTTAACGTGAATTCCTACAAAAGTGCAGATATTGTTTTTTGTTGCTTCTGTGTATAGAAATCTTGTAGGATTTCTAGTTGTTATGGGATGATTCTATAGGGTTCTTTTGAGATTTCGGATTGTATGTTTGGGGTGGGTTGTAGTTTTTTCTTAAGTCTGATCCCAAGTGCAACCAGATTGAGCTTTTTCTGTTTCCTTTACGCAGTTCACGCCAAGGTGGTGGTCTTGGCCCTTTTTGATGTGTTGACTGCATCATTACCTCAAATGGCTAGTCTTTTGTAATGACCCTATTTAGTAATAAAAGCCTTCCAATAAAAAATTTAATGAAAGCAAATTTGCCTTAGATCATTACAATGCACTCTATCAACTAAAACACCAATTTACTTAGGAGGGATGGATAAAGTTCTCCAAGATAACTTCAAAAATATCAATAAATCAATCAAGAATTTAATTAATTATAAATAAGAAATATGAATATTCTAATCAAATTACCATTATTACAATAAGTGAAATAAAAAAAAAGGAAAATGGTGTACCAAAGTTAAGTTGTATTCTTGAGGCATCGGGTTCACTTTGTTTTGATAATTTTGAGTTAAAAAACCAACTCCCTTTACCCTTTGTCCTTTGTTTTGAACAGAAAAGAGCAAACATTATTTGCGTTTGAGGCACATGATATTAATGAAACGAACCAGGTTACAATCTTTGGTTGACAAAGAGCATTATAAGTTGTCAAGCAGAAAGGCATTGCATGCATTGGCAACCGCCAAGAAATGATATACAACTTATAACTTGTATCAAAATCAATGTATGGTAACAGACAAAAATGGACCAAAATGGAAATGTAGATAAAGAAATTAATGTCACAATCAACTTATCTAATCATACAGACTAAAATGAAGAAATTTTTCTTGCCTGAAGAGTGGATCAACGGAGGACTACTGGGTTCTGAAGGTCCAGATTTATGTACCAGGTCTTCACCCGCATTTGTTGCATTGAATTTCTGCAGGGCCAGAAGAGTACCCAAGGAAAAAGGACCTTTTAGGAACACAGGTTCTTTCCCTGGCACAATAGGTGAGAATCGTAAGTTGCAGCATATGAGCGCAAAGGAGAAATTATGAAAAGAAAAGGTACACGATACACAACTTAACATTGCAGTGATACACTCAAGGATGAGGTAATCGTACCTTTTGCTTGAGTGGATCCCGAATTCGCTTCCTGCTTAGACCAACCATCACTTGTATGCATTTGTTCTAAATCTTTTAGGGAAATGCCATAGTCAGGGTTACTGACTTTCTTTTTTTTTCGAGGCAAAACCAATTTCGAACGAGATGCAGCTTTCACAGCAAGAGCTGAATTATTTCCAGGGCAATCTCCTTTCTTAGTTGCTCTCCGGGTTTTTTTTAAAGACTGTAGTTTAGAAGTCAAATGGAACTTCTTACTACCTTTTACGTGAACTGCCTGTTTTGGTGGAGCAGGAGACGACGAATTTACATTTTCTGTTGGCTGGAGACACTTGGAACTAGCAGGCTTTGTTAGAGCTTGACTCCTCTTAGAACCCAGATTACCCCGTCTAATCTGTTTTGCTATTTGAGTGCCAGAGTTTAGTTTGTTGAGTAGAGTAGTGGAGGAAAAACGACCTTTCAGGCACACAGTTTCTTTACCTGGCACAATAGCTGAGATATATCGTAAGTTAACAGCGTGGGAGCAACAAAGGAGAATTTATAAAATCGAAAAAATACACAACACACAACATAACATTGCAATGATACTCTCAGAAATAAGGCATCCGTTACCTGCTTCTCCCTGAGTGGATCCCGAATTCACCTTCTGCTTAGACCTACTATCACTTGTATTCTTTTGTTTTATATCTTTTGAGGAAACCTCAAAGTCAGAGTTACAAACTCTAATCTTTTTTTGAGGCAAAACCAAGTTGGAACTTGATGAAGCATTGACAGCAAGAGCTAAATTACTTCCAAGGCCATCTCCTTCCTCAGTTGTACTTTGGGTGTCTTTAATTTTAGAAGTCAAAGGAAACTTCTCACTATCTGCTACATGAGCTGCCCGTTCAGGTGGAGCAGGAGAGGAAGAATTTGCATTTTCTGTTGTCTGGAGACACTTGGAACGGGCAGACTTTGTCAGAGCTCGACTCCTCTTAGAACCCAGATTACCCCATCCAATTTGTATCGCTGTTTGAATGCCGGAGTTTAGTTTGTTGAGTAGAGTACCAGAGGAAAAACTACCTTTTAGGCTCACAATTTTTTTCCCTCGCACAATAGCTCAGATATATCGTAAGTTAACAGCATAAGAGCAACAAAGGAGAAATTATAAAAAAGAGAAAAAAAATACACAACATAACACAACATAACATTGTAGCGATACTCTCAAAGATGAGGCATCCGTACCTGCTTCTCCCTGAGTGGATCCTGAATTCACCTTCTGCTTTGACCTACCATCACTTGTATGCTTTTGTTTTATATGTTTTGAGGAAACCCCAAAGTCCTTTTTGCGAGACAAAGCCAAGTTGGAACTTGATGCAGCATTGACAGCAAGAGCTAAATTACTTCCAGGGCCATCTCCTTTCTTAGTTGTACTCTGGGTTTTTTTAATTTTAGAAGTCAAATGCAACTCCTCACTATCTGCTACATGAACTGACTCTGTTGGTGGAGCAAGAGAGGAAGAATTTGCATTTTCTGTTGTGGGGAGACACTTGGAATTGGCAGGTTTAGTTAGAGCTTGACTCCTGTTACAACGCAGATTAATCCGTCCAATATATTTTGTTGTTGGAGTGCCAGAGGTTAGCGTCGCGACTTCTTCTGCGGCAAGAAACTTCACTTTGGACTGCCTTGAATTTTTTTTCACTTTTAAAGGATCTTGCGAGGCTCTATATTTACTGAATCTCATAGGTCCTGGAGACTGTACAGCACTAGAATCTATGCCTTCCTTATTTGTCATTGTAGGTAGATGATTAGGACAATATTGGAGTCTTAAAAAGTTTCGTCTTTGCACCAGGTCTTGGTGAAACTATTTTTTACTCATCTTACGTTTCTCTTGGGACCGCCATTGAACGAGCTTGCAAACAATATCTGATAACAAGAGGACCAACAAGTTGTAAGGAAACATGCATATGATATTTATTAAAATATATCTTCTTAAGATAGGAGAAAGAATTTTGATCTAACTCTTTAAAAACGAAATACATATCATTATTATTGAGTTAAAAGATCGAGTGTTACATACGATAATGATATTAAAATATCAATAATAAAAACAAATTCAACTGAAGGAATAATGGAATATGCAGACCTGATTACATGGTATAAACACCTAGCACACCAAGCATACGCACAAAACAAAGATGGCGACACAATTTCAAGGCTAAAAGAAGATAAATCTATGAAGGACCAAATTTGGTCCAACATCTTTATTTTATTTTATATTTTTTGAAAGGCTTGAATATATTTCTATTGATTCATTACAAAAACAGGCAAATGGTCCAACATCAGGTCTGCTACAAAACCAAAAATAAAGGAAAAACAAGTGGCAAAAGTAAAGGAAAACAACATAAAATGCCTGCTAAAAGGTAATTGCATACCAGAGAGGACCTATCCTTTTGAAAGAACTTGCTATAGAATTCTGAAGCAAAGGAACCTGCTGGGTTTGTGAAGATGGATAGGAAGTGATCTACCCTTTTGAAAGCAATTGATAAGAATTCAAAAAGCACAGGAACCTGCTGGAGTGTGATATGGAGCACTTATGGCAAGAATCTCGACCATATTCTGTCTAGATTCCTTGTTTGCTCATTTTCTATTCTTCATCTTTCCTTTTTTACTTAAAAATTTGAGCGCACACACCAGGAGAACAATTTAGGAAAGACCTATTTATGGAAATCAACGATGCTGTTACCATCAAGGGGAAGAATTCTATATCTACATTAGATATATATGCAGGTATACCTCATGCATGCATGTATTCGTTCAGACCAAATGCAAAACACAGATGATCCGATTAAGACAAGACACCAGAATGTTCCAGAAAAGTCTGGGGATAGGCCCTAAGATAGATCGTCCAAGAACAAAGGAAAGAGTTAAGGCAGTTCTTGATTTGTTAAGAGAGACCCCATATATATATATATATATATATATATTGATGTGTTAAGAAATAATGTATTGATATAATTATTGTTCACAAAATGTTCAAAAGCCACCTTAGACCTGCAACTTATGTACTATTTTAAAATGAACATCACAAGCAAAACCAAGAAAGACCCATCACTGATCAACAAATGAAGTGGACTGAAGATAGAACCCTTTCGAATAGCAAATTCTGCATGTGAAATTTCCATATCATTTTATGCTATCCAAGCTTCGATTAATACTAGAGGTGAGCATTAATTGACGTAAACTGAAATAACCGTTCAGAATTTATTAAATTCAATTAATTCTGTATGATTTTTTTCATTTTAATAAGAGATATGGTTTATTCCGTTATTTCAGTTGATTTTATCTATTCAAAATTTATAGTCGAATTTATCATTAATAATATAAAAATTTTCAACATTCTTGACTTTGAGCCTCTCATTTCTCTCACTCAATCTACCTCTCAGAGTTTTATTATTACCCAAGCCTTTACATAAGATCATAGTATACTAAACTCTAATTTCATTTTGATTTAGCATAGATATAGATTCAAAAAAGTGTATACGAATAATATTTTGAGGAAATTGTTATGAATTTGAAAATGATTTGAAACTTACGAGCATAAATATAATATAAGATACAATAATTTGATAAGAGGATTTGAATTTAATTTTTTTAATCAGAAATACATACACATTTCTGATTGAGTTGAATACTCAATTAGTGCAAGTATATTATTAGATTTAATATGTTAATTAGTAAAAACTAAAATTGAGTTAATACTACTTAAGATGTTTATAAATATTTATTACTATTTCTATGTCAATGTAATTTTGACCTTAGCTATTTAACATAGGTACATGCACTCGTTTAGTTCTATTATTTGAGTGAACTCTTCTTTTAACTCAAACTCGACTTTTAAAAACTGGTCAATAAATGAAGTGGTTTAAAGATAAAACCCTTTTGAAAAATAAATTCTACATGTGAATATCATTTTAGGTTACTCAAGCTTCAATTAATATTAGAGGCGAGCATTAATTAATGTAAATTGAAATAATGGACTAAAACTTAGGGAATTCAGTTAATCTGGTTTGCTCTTTTTATTTCGGTAAGAAAAATAGTTTCTTCCGTTATTTCGGTTGGCTTTTTATATCTACAATTTATAACCAAATAAACCATTAATAATATATTTTTTAAATATATTTTATATAGAAAATATTATTAATATTTTGAATACATATATATACACAAGGTTAAGCTAAAGGCATTTTAGACTTAATTAATGATATATTATTGAAATATTAAGTAAATATTTTTAAATCCATTTTATATATAAAAATACTATTAACATGTATGATCATTTTTATCAATTAAAAATTTTTCGGTATTGGTACTTTTATATATATTATACATATATACAAATTACATACACACGACTCTCGGTATTTTATTTGTCTCACTCGATCTATCTCTAAGAGTTATACTGTTACTAAGACCTTTTATGTATACTAGACTCGGATTTGTATTGATTTAGCATAGATATCAATAAAAAAAAAGTGTATACAAAGTACTATTTTGAAGAAATTGTTATAAATTTGAAAATGATTTTGAAACTCATGAGCGTAAGCATAATATAAGATACAATTTTTTGACAAGAGGATTCAAGTTTAACTTTTTGAATAAAAAATACATGCACTTATATCATTGAGTTAAATACTCAATTAGTATGAGTATATTATTGGATTTAATACGTTAGTTAGCAAAAAGTAAAACCGAATTAGTACTACTTAAAATGTTATAAATATTAGTACTATTTCTATATCAATGTAATTTTGACTTTAGTTATTTTAAAATAAATACATATACTCGTCTAGTTCTGTAATTAAATGAACTTTTCTTATAACTTAAACTCGACTTTTTTAATAAAAAAAGCTTTCGACTGACCAATGAATATCTCTAATTTTCATATATTTGATTATATATTGATCATTGGATAATTTAATAGGTTTCTATCTTTGACATTCAAATCGCAACCATATAAAATACATGCAAAAGTATATCATAGTCATCTTCCTGCAGGTATGTACTCCAATCCTTGGAAAGCTGCATCTTCATTTCCTATGCCCGGCTGATGCCATGAGTATTCCGACAGCCGCAATGAACATGAACAACATGGTGAATAGTAACACATATGTTCTTCGGGATGATCTTCGGTACTCTCCAAACAGAATTACTCCCCAGAATGTGCTCACCAGGGGAAGTGCCTGATCCCATCACAGCAAACATATGGAATGTGTTTGATGTTAAGGAATTTAGATATGATGGGGAATTGAAAATTTAAGCTTTTGAATTCAAATGTGATGGTAAACCAATGTGCTTTTTGTGGATGAAATCAAACCTGAACAGCGTCTGCTGCAGCATAGCCTGCAGCTTGACCTCCCATGAACTGGAGACCATTCCCAAAGCCACAGAGAAGGCCAGCCAGGAAGGCCCAGCCTCGGCCATTCCAGTCTTTTAGATAGGCCTTAAAGGTTGATCTGGGTACTCCCAGAGCTGGATGGTAAAGGAAGCTGATGTTTAGGATGAGAGCAATCACAAAGCAAGAGAGCGAGAAGTAGAAAAATGCTGTGTAGACAACCAACTTAGGAACCCCTTCCTTCAGAGTGTGCCACTGATCGTTTGTTGCCAAGTTGAATGCTGGGGAGAAGAGGGAGAAGCAAACGCCGGCGAAGAAAGTTAAGGTCAGTCCAATGAAAGTGCTCCTTCCAAACACCTGCAAAGAAGAGTCAATCAAGCCAAAGACCAGTTGCGCAGAGAACAAAAACCATTTGCTTCTGGGGTTGTTAAGACCAAGTAAATTGGTGAAGTGAAACTTCCTAACCTTGATTGACCTTCTTTTCTCAAGCTCTATCAGGAAAGTTGCTGTTCCTGCTTTTGCCTTGTGTACAGGACCGTTCCCAGTCTCTAGATCCTTTGTTACTGTTATATAAGGAGGCTTCGAAAATCAAAAAAGACAGACAAATATGAGGTGGTCTGCAAGAGATCCGGATGTTTCTTACCCTTGTTTGGAAATGTTTCTTCGGGCACAGAGGAAAGCACAGCCCTGGCAAAATGGTTGATTTTGTGAAGCAGGTAAAGTTGTTCGATAAACAATAAATAGGAAGGCGGCATTTGGAAGGCATCAACGCAGTTGAACAGTTTTCCAGCAATCATATACAGAAACCAACCAATGAAACAGTAACATGAAACTTAATCAAATCAATACGACAAGATCAGATGATTTGTTTAGCCATGTATGTGAAGGACAGAAGCATTACTCGGTCCCGGTTTTGTTCTCATTTGACAAACAGCTAAGCTTTGCTTTATCATCAGCTGCATTGGATGAGTGAACAGCTGATGCGAGACAAACAGCTATCAGGAAGCAACCAACACCTGGGAAAAGGATCTCAGCTCTATTGATTTTGTCATCTAAGAAGTAATTCAAGGTTGTGCCTGTTACAATCAAAAAAGGTAACCAAAAGTCAGAAATGTTGCAGTCTACAAAGAGATCCAAAAACTCAAGTTCTTTAGAGCGTTCTGGGTAACCTATGACAACAGTCATGCTTGATGAAATCACTTGTACAACTGATAAACCAACAAAAGCCCAAGCATACTGTGTGGAAAGATTTCCCAGGCTGAGAACCACCCCACCAGCCATTGCAAACAGAACAGAGGACCAATTGTCCTGCATCAATTCCCATGGAAAATATAAAACCAGTTCTAAGTGTTAATATTATGCCATTTTAAACAAAAATATGTATAGAGACAAGAATGCTACATCAATCACTTTCAAAAAGCATATCCAATTTAGTTCATTACATAAACTCAGATATGTGGAATGATTAAAGGTTCCTGCAAAGCTTAGTTGTAAGAACTTTTCCTGCAAGCTAAGACTCACCCACCAGAATTCAGAATATAGTTTGACAGTCAACTTGGAGCAGGTAAGAAACTTTATATGTTCATAAAAGAGAAAACTAAATTAGATGACCTCCAAGTGAGAGGAAGATAGCATAACAAAATGCTCCATGACATCCAAGTTCAATCTCAGGATTTCTGCTCTCTGACAAATCCCATTTCATTCTAGTACTGAATCGATACTTGATGCTGTAAATTCTAAAAACTAGAAGTTTTTCTGCACTGCTATAACTATGAGAATAGTATGATGAAATTTAAAAATAAAAGTCCAAGGCTTAACTCAAAACCCAAAGCCAAAGGAGAAACTCACCTGAGAAAGTTGAGTCAAAAAATTGGGTCGTTCGACCGTGCTCTCCCCTATCTGACCAAACGTTAAAGCTATAATGACTGCAGCCAAGAGATTTGTCATTGTATAATCAAGGTAAGTGTGCTGAGGAAGGCGTCCTCGTCTTTCTAGCAGAGTGATAATAGCAGGCCAGGTGCCCAAGAAGAAAAGAGCAAGCAGCATGCAAGCTATGGCACCTCCTTTGCTCTCCACAAGATACATCTTCAATTTATTAAAAACTACAATCCTCTAAGTTGGAAGAGTAATTGGAGAAGAAATGTCTGAAAGTCCTACAACCATGAGAACATGTTAATCTAAAATCTAGTATTGTCCTCCACCAAGTTTACCAAATCCCACTAGCTTACTGACCTCAAAGAAATGATGAAGTCTTCAATGATCTGAGATGGCTAGTGCTGAAAAAAGAGAACAGAGAGTCCTTTAAGAGACCCCACTACTACTTCAATTTCAAAGCAAGACGTTTGGGATCTTTGAAAGAACACCTTTAAAAAGTCCAAAAACTGTATATCCTATGGTATCTTTCAAGGTTCACTGCAAAAGAATTTACGGAGTATTTCAGGCGGCTGCTCCAAAATATGTGTTGAACGGCTTCTGCAAAACAATGAATGATGGTTCCAACCTCCCAATGATCAGGTTTATAGCCTACTTGGTGAAAGTAGATTCATTTGAGTGCAACTTGGTTCTAAATATTTGCACGTTTCTTCTTTCTTGTCACCATCCATGGTGCTGAAAAGTCAACAAATTCAATGCATTGCAAGTCTATGTACACGTGCTTGTACGTGTACGTTTGTCCATACATTGATCAATCCAAACTTATTGGCCTATGGCAATCCAAGTCCAAACAAACAACAAAATTACCTGGATAGCTACATCATGTTTCATAATTGGAGGAACAGGTCATGATTGAGATGGGAAATTTTTCTTTTGCAGTCGGGTTCAGCTGGGAACCTTATATTAGTCATGATAGCTTCCATAGTCACATTTGACTGATGAAAAAGTTCCCAATACAGTCTGGAAACCAACCAAAAAGTTTATGAAACAGTAATTTGCGATTTGCCTTTGCATTAATTACTGCATTTCAACTTCTTACGCTGCTGACTATAATCTAAAAATAGGACCAAAGTGGGAAAGAAAGAGACAAGACAGTTCAAAGTTTATCTGATTACGCCCATATATAGTGGAATATTAAAAAGAGCCAAAGAGAAATGGACTTTTCTGCCCTGGCACCTTGATGTACATTGAACCTACTCAAAACCAAGTTTGGGAAGAAATTGAGAGACTTTACCGAGTAAGATTCTTCGATTCCAGCAAGAAAACGCTCACAGAGAGACTAATAACTAACACTCCATTGAATTTTTTAGATACACATTCAACTTTAAATTAATTGACAATAAATGAAAATTTTTATTATTTTTTAATTCTTAAAGCACCCTTAATTTAAAAGAAACTAAACTTTTTTTATCACCCTTTGATGCTGATAAACACTAAATCAATTATTAAATAAAATAAACAAAAAAAATAAAATATTTTTATTTTGTAAATTTTGATCAAAATTACAAGAAAATATATTAATTTTTAAAATGAACTCTCTATTATAAACATTATTAATAATAATTGTGAAAACATTAAATATTTTTTTATTAATTTAAAAAAATTATTTTTAAAAAACATTAAAAAAAAAATGAAGGGAGCACCTAGTTCCCCAAGAAAGGGGAGCACCTGCCAGTGCACCCAAGGGAGGGGAGCTTCGATGCTCTCCATTTGGAGTTTTTTTTTTTTAATTAATAAAAAATAATAAAATTATATAATAATAATTATTAATTAATAAAATTATTTTTTTATTTTTATTACGTTAATAAGTTGATAAAAATATTAACCGTTGATTAATAGTTGAACTTACATGTCTAACAAAAAAAAATTTAAAATGAAATGTTTATTTTGAAAATTAATAGTTTTTTGTATAATTTTTTATTCAATTTTTCAAAAAAAAAAGAGGATTTTAAAAAAAAAAAAGTGCTCTAGCGGTAAACTTGAAAGCTCAGCAGTAATTTTATAAGCAAAGGCAGAGAAGGTGGCGGTCCATATAGTTCATAACCGCCTAAGTCAAACATGACATAGCAGAGACGGCAAGTTGTTTATTCAGAAAGTGCTGCAAGAAGAGGACAGTCCGCCATTCTCAAATGTTGGGGCTTGCAAGTAAGACTGCAGAGGTCGAAAAACCAGATTCACGAATGCAGCATTCCAAGTTCACCAGACAGGATTGGTTGTCATGATCTTAAAGGAAAGTCGTGGATATGTGTATCAGGGCACTCGGTATTAAAGTGCTTATATTTTAATCTGTGAAATAATCAAGACATATTAATATGGACTGTGACACTAAATTAATGAATTTGCACCGATATTGGGCTGAGCTTGAGACCGAAGAGTCAGTCAGAAGATGTCATCTTGGATGTGTATTGCTCTTTGCATTTGCAATGACAAATTAACACCACCTTCACATGCTATAAATTATGGCCAAGTCAAAAGAATCAGCATGGAAGATTCTAACGTTGCAGAGCTGTACAAGGAAGTCAGCAATTCCTGCATTTGCCTTGTCTCAATGCCATTCCCATTTACCAGATCCTACAATCCTGTTCGGTAACAAAAGGGGTCTTAAAAATGAAGTGAGCAGTAACTAACAAGGTAAGATACTTCATACCTTGATTTCAAAGTGTTTCTTTGGATGTGGAGGAATATCCAGCCCTGGAGAAACACAGAAATTTTGTGGAAGCAAAAAGAATCAAATGAATAATGTATACATAGGCAATATTCTCTGAGGAAGCAAAAAGAATCTAATGAATAATGTATACATAAGCAATAAAGGTGTTAAACATGATAACATATTTCTTTGTCGTTCTTTGGTGTTATAACTTGGAAAGAAGTACAAGAGTAAAGTCCTCTTGGAGTGAAGCTGAAGTAATTTAGGAAGGTACAAAGTGGTGACAGGAGGGTTAAGGAAGTATCTCTTGTTTGCGCATCACAGAGTATTTACGGGCATCTGGACATGGACTTGACCAGCAGAAGGCTAGCATTTGCAAGACACAAGCTATAGAACTAGTTTATATACATCTGCTAGAACACCAAACCTCTATAGAAAGCGCTAACAAAGTGCACCTATGGTTTATATCATGAATGCCAATCCTTCATTCTAGCAGCCAAGACAGAGAACCTCAGCTTGATCTCGATCTTTCAAAATGGCATTTGGGATCCTGCTCCAACCATTGTCTGCCAGGGTGTACTTTTCTGACCCTGGCATTACGTGAATTCAATGTAATAGTAACATAAGTGCAACTTACTCTCTACATAAAATTTATGCTGTCTTTCATCTTATTCCACTCCACCTCTCTGCTTCTTTGCATAAACTTTATGATACCTTTCCAAGTGCCTGCTAAGTATTCAACTAAGGGCCATCTACCACCTTAACTATGCTACTGAATTTGCAAGTGACATCATTATTGGATTACAAGAAGCATTTATAGATTGGCCACATAAGAAATCACTGGTTGATAGCTCACATTTCAAAAAGATTAGGCAACAAAATTCTCAGAAAAGAAACGCCAATATAGATAAGGAGACTGTATAGAGTATGCAAGCCAAAAGGACAGTAAAGAAAGCATGGCCAGAGTCAACACATATCCAGAGCAAAGTTAAAAAGTCAACTGGACAAAAAAATTCACAGCATACATGAATTTTTTTTTAAGTATAAACAGTTTAATGTTTGAATTTCAGATTGCCGTAAAAAATACAGGTGCATCATTTGCAGATTGAGGGAGGCCTTGAAAAAGTGTAAACAATACATAACAATGTAAAGGGAAGGCCTCCGGTAATCCACTGTATCAATTTTCACAGCAATGGAAATGATAGTTGTCAATGATGTCCTTATCGGATATCGTGGAAAAGGAAAAAGAGATTCTTTTTCAATAAAACTTTGTTCCAGAACTTTACACCTATATTTTTTGATTGATTGGTTGGTTTGACTTTACAAGTCAACATCATGGAACAAATTGATGTTATTGTTTAAAAAGTTGCACATAAAGAGGACCAGCCTACTGTCCTGCATCATTTACCATGAAAATGTGAAACAAGTTGAAAGTACTGACACTATGCCTTTAACAGAATGCTACATCCATCACTATAAAGCTGATAACCGTGTAGTGCATAAAATCAGTATGTGCAATAATAAATGTACGATAATTGGTCCTACAGGCTTGACTTGAAAGAATCTTTCCTACAAGCCAAGAATCACCATCAAATTGGAACCATGGTTTGACAGCTCTTGGGAGCAAGTAAGCAACTTTCTGTAAAAGGCCAAATGTGATTAGAAGGTCTGCAATTTAGACCGGGGAAGATATCTACAATTCCAACGGTTAAGTTTACCATAACAAAGCATTACATGATAGCTAAGTTCAATCTCCAGATTTCTGCTCTCTGCCCCACTTTATTCTATTACTCATGCTGATCTACTAGGCACTGATTCATAGCCATCCATCACCTAAGCATGGCTACTGCATTGTAAATTCATGATTATTTATAAGAGAATATATGAAGTCATTTTAACTGAAGAACTAGGAGGAGAGATCGGGGGATGCAGCACCTCGATTTTGTTTCGCAGAACCTATAAAGGGGAAAAAATTATATTCCTCTACTCACACTTTCAGCTGAAAGAAATTTGCTTTCTTTAAGAAATATCACACCCAAGGGTACAAACAACTTTTCTGAAATGCTATAAGACTATTATGATGAATTCATTGATTCACTGACATGAGGAGTACAAGGCTATAGCAAGTAGGCCCAAGATGTAATTCAAAAGCCAAACTGAAACTAACCTGAGAAAGTTGAGCAAAATTTGGGTCTCTCAGGCGTGTTCTCCCCTATCTGGTGTAATGCAGCCAAGCGAATTGTCATTATACAATCAAAGAAATAATGTCGAGGAAGGCCATGTGCCCAAGAAGAAATGCGCAAGCATCATGCAAGCTATGCCACCTCCTTTGCTGTCTACCAGATACATCTTCAATAAACTAGAGACATAAGCCTCTAAGTTGGAAGTATAATGAAAGAAGGAATGCATGAACATCCCGCAATCATAAAAGAGGTTTAGACTTTTAGTTTAAACTCTTGCATCTGGTATTGTCCATCACCAATGTTACTAAATCCCACCATTTGCTAGCGAAGAGTACGAAATCTATAGTAGCAGAGAGAGAATGCTTATGGCAGAGAAAATTATTTAATCTTCACAGTTGTGATCAGCAGTCTTGTTGGAGGCCTTGTAAGAAAAATGAACCACAGAGATACCAACTCAGAAAGAGAGAGAGAGAGAGAGAGAAACTGACAAGCCAGACATGAGAAACCATTTGAGACCCCACAAGTTCATAATTCAGAACAAGATGTCTGGAATCTTTGAAAGATTAGCTTAAAAGCCTAAACACTGTACTCTTTGGTATTTTACTGTTACACACTGAAAAGGCAAACACACAAGAATTTAGAGAAATACTTAAGGTAGATGCTTTAAACAATGTATAGAACAGTTTCATTATAACTCTATACGCTGGTTCCAACTTCCAGCAATCACTTCTACAATAAAGAATATATGCACATACCTGGTGAAAGCAGATTCATCTTAATGCAATCTGTTTCCAAATTTTTCACACATTTTCTTTACCTTGTCCCCATCTAAAAAAATGGTTTACAGTTTGCCAGTCAGTATGTCCCCAGAAACTAATGTCATTGATTTGAAAACCGGTCAGTTGTCAAATATCTGTTCTTATATCTCATCAACAAAGGCTTAAATGGTTTGTGGAAACCGTAAATAATAAGGTACTTGGCCAACTGTATCAGGTCATCATAATGTGGCATAATTGAAAGAACAGATCAAGTTTATAACGGCAAACCTAATCATGGAATTCAATTCAGCTAGGCACATTGGATTAATGACAACCCAGAACGACCAATGAACCCGAAAACCAGCCTGTCTGGTTCCTTGACTCCTTCATGTTACATCATATTCTCAGACAACTATGGCTTTCCTTCATGCAGACAGAAAAGTCAACAGAGCAAAATTTCATTGTCAAATTGTTCAACAGCCAAGAGAGTCTCCTCTTAGTAACCGCCACCATTGACATTTACATCCCAAATAAAATATCCAGCAGAACAATCATTCAAAAGCTGCATGTCTGAATATTCATATGTATATAATATGATAATTATGCATCAAATTCAAAACTTTTTACATTCTCTGAGAAAAAAGAGAGCTGCTTTCTCCTTGAAAATTGAAGTACATTTATATTTTGGAAGACCATAACCAAAATTACAACAAAGTTACCTCTATATATATTTTTCTTTTTACTATTGTTTATGCTTAGTGAATCAGATTTCCACACAGCAGCCTGACTGGACAAACCCAGAAAACTCATCAAGCACACTGATCTTCTCCAATTTTCCATTTTGCCCTTCCTTCATTTCCACCATGTAAAACCCATGTGGTGCACCTTGATACTCCGACCCGGTGACCAAGACTCGACCCCCAAGCCTAACTCCACATGCTCCGACCCTTACGGCAGGGTCGAGCTCTGCCCAATTCAACAATTTCCCATCTTTGCCAATCCCAACACTCGATCTCGGGCACCGACCTGGTTCCCAAACCCCTTCGACCCGCCTCCATTGCCCCGATTTGAACTCATACACGTCAGAACTCCCGTCGAATTGACCTTGACTCTCCGTTCTGTATCCGCTCACAACCCAGAACTCGTCTTCCCCTGTCACCACACCTTCACACTCATCTCGCTCCTGACTCAGCTCGCCCAACTGAGTCCACTCGTCCTTTCTCAAATCATAAACCCAGGCGTTTCTCGACGCGTTCTTGTTCTCGTCATGCCCGCCCGCAATATAGACCCGACCCGAACATGATCCGATTGCAAAGAACGACCTTTTTGCAGGCATATCCTTCCCTTTTCTCCATTGCTGAGTCATGAAATCGTAGATAAAAACATCGGTAACTGGGTCGTAACTCACAGGATCCCACCCGCCCATTACCACAAGCTTCCCCTCACAGCTTGCCAATTGACAAAACAAAGGCAACCCACTTGCGTAAGTGGGAAGCGTGGCGAGTCTATCCCAACTCCGACTCAGCCAGTCAAACACAGCAATTCCATAACTCGGTGACTCACCCGGTTTTTTAGGTCCATTCACGATCCCACCACTAAAGGCCTGAACCAAGCAAGCGACTTCTTGGGTGTACCCTAATTTTTTGCGGTGGTAATAAAAATCATCGCTTCGAAACAAATCTCGCCATCGGTGACAAACTCGGGAGGCGAGTCGGTGAGCTGTGTAAGGTAACCGACTTATGCACTCAAGACCGAGTTCTTCGGGTAAACCCGGAACCAACTCAGTCGAGAACTCGAAACGTTCCATTTTCTCAAGTTTCTAGAAGGTTTTCCCTTCGTTAAAAGCCATAGAAGCATTGGAACCAAAGCCATCACCCACTGATTTATAACAGACAGTTGGATAACGGAAACGGCCACGGCTATTCGACTGAACGACACGTGTATTTTCAAGGAATATCATGTTACTTGAGGAGATATTTGGACTGGTTGTTATGACAGAATGGATAAGTGCAAACTAAGTGATTACACGTGGCATTCTTTCGGTCACCGTGATTGATGTTAGTGGTTCCCAAATTACATTCGATTGAATCTTCTTTCTTGATAGATCAGGTTAATGAGAGATGGACACGTGGTGATTGCCATGGATAAACGTCTGTCGTATATCCTGACGTGACCCCAGTCGATCAACGTGATGGGAACGAATTGATATCCTTTTTACCATATTGCATTCGTTTTAAGATAACATCATGTCACGTTGTGATTATGTTTAATGATAAGAATTAATTAACTATAATATTTAAATAATTTTTTAAATTATTTATAAAAATTCAAATAAATTTTATTTGACTTAATATAAAATTTTAAGTGTTCGTTTTAATGCAACGAAATATTAGAAGCCTATTTTGAATAATTTTGTATGCTTCAAGAGTATTTTTAAATATTAAATCCTAACTTTTATATCATTTTAATGTTTTATATGACTTATATTTTATTAATCCAAATGTGAGATTAAATCATTTATTTATACAAATTAGTTACGTAAAATTTCAAATTAATTAAATATCAAATTATTATTTTGGAATCAACTAAATATATATTAAAAAGGGTATTGTAATTAATTCACGTGATATTAATACCAAATTGATTGGAAATTATAGGAGCATAATGCACCCAATAATAGATTTATTAAAACATCAACTAAATCAAAAATTAAGTTATGAGTTGTAATAAATATGGTTTAACGTGTAGTTTTTCTAATTTTAATTATAAAAATAATTAAATAATTTGGAAAGAGTTCCATTAATGGTGGAAAATAAGTGAAATATTGAATAACTCAATAATAATTGGGTGACATGTTCTCATGTTTGACTTAAAAAGCAATCAATTTGGTCCCACTTGTTGCTAATTGTGATATTGATTTTTCCACATGATTTTTTGCTTTTTTTTCCAAGATGATTGAACTTCCCGTCTAGAAATTCTCTACTCCCCTGCGTGTTTTTCTTTTCCTTGTCGATATCCAAACCACTTTATTTGAGAATAACCTTCACAAAAGTGAGAATAAAGCCAATGAATGGAGGAAAGAATATGGGGTGGCTGCCGGCCTTGTGTAACCAAGATAAAGACCTGCTGATTGAATGACTCCCCCCTTCTCTTTTACTTCAATAGCAGAAAGAGTGAGTTTTGATATATAAATATGAATTTTTTTTATTTAGTAAATATATTTTTAGATTAAAAATTTAAATTTATGATAAATAATATCAATGTAAATCTAAATTTTCATTGACGTGGGATCTTCATGAGAAATATAAAGATTAAAGTAAACTTAAACTAATGTAAAAATCTCTTTTCTTTAAGAGTAAAAGAGTTGGGTCGAAATTGACTCTGAAGTAGACTCGGATAAATATAAGAGTCTCTTTTTTTCCATCCTCTATGGTAAAAAAGTTAACCCAAAGTAGACTTAAACTCGTTTAAAAATCCTCTACTCTATGAGTAAAAAAAAAAATAGTACAACAAGGGTATTATACAATTCGATATATATACATAAATTTTCTTTCATTTATTAATTATATTTTTTGAGTTAAAAATATGAATACGTAAATCATTGAAGTTTGATTATTAATTTTTTTTAAATTAAAGATAAAATCAAATTACTAAAAATAACATTGAAATTCGATCAAAACGTCACTTGTTTTGAAATTTGATGTCCATACGTTTCTTTGACGAAAAGTTTTATGATTCATAGATTCATACTTTTGTCAAAATCAATCAATTTTCGAATACTTATTAGAAGCAAAGTAACACTTTAACTTTGTATCAAACACGTTCGAATTTTTTTTTGTTCGAACACTAGTGTCCATTTTCTATCAAATCGAATGGATAATTAAAATGACCAGAATTCAAGAAAAACCGAGAATAATCAAATCACAAATAAAAGAAAGAGTAGACTTTACTTATATTTCTTTTATATTATATAAACATTATGCTCTAGAATGTTTCAAAGTAGATCTTAACCCAAAGTCCTAGATAATATAAAGAAGAGAAAAATCAATGCCATGTGCTTAGTGACCTCAGCTTGCGAAGACTAACTCTATGTTTTCTATTGCAACAACTGGTCATCACATTTTTGTTTTGTTGTGTAAATGACCTTTCATTGTGTCCTAATGAAGCCATGTCCTGTGACCTGTGTTTTTCGGCTAGAAAAAGAACAAATCACATCACATACTGTACAGAGATTAAGTTTATGTCGATGAATTATGACCGTAAACTGATAATTAAAAACGTATTGAAAAATAATTAATAAATTAGATGTCCAAAATGGAATCAAGACCGATTACGTTAAGACAAACAACCTTACTGATTAATTAAGGAAGCCTTTAACTTGAAGAAACGTCTTTCTCATTTAGATAAGGAAAAGGGGTCCCCAAAGCCTTAATGGGGTGCCTGACTGGCTGCCTAACTTTGTTCTCCATTTGGGGCCTCTACCCATCATCTTTCTGTTTTAAGATTGTGGGGGAGTAGTCCTTGTCAAAGGAAAATGAGAAACTACCAATCAATAATCCATCAAATGATTCGTATTTAAGTATTTAATTTATTAATTAATGTATAATTTTTTATTTATAAATTAAATAAACGATCCCATATTAAACTAGGCCGTTAACAAAAGAGGTCTTCTAGAAGCATTGTAGTAGTGAGGTGGGGGAGGGGGGAAGGAAGATTACCACATTGTTCAACGGATTTCCTTTTCCTTTTTCTTGTCGGAATTCAAATTCAAATTCCAGATTTTGGGATTAAAATTGGACCCATTTTCAGTTGGACTTGAGCCCAGATAAATACCCAATTGAGGCCTACATAGTTAAGAATTATAAAGACTTGTGAAAAGTTCATCTCGGTTCGGTGTTCTTTTTTCTTTTTTTTTAATTAGTATAATAATTTTAAATAAATTTTTATAATAAATAATTGATTAATCATCGTTAATCAATAATATATTATCATTTTATATGATATGATATGTTAATTTGTCATAATAGAAAATAAGATTGTATATGACGATGTTACTGTCAACTATGACAAGTCATCGTATTACATCAATATTATGAAAAAATTTATTTACTTTAAAATAAAAAATATAAAAATTAAATTGAATGTAATAAACAATATATATGTTTTTAAATTTTTTAAATAATATTATATCTTTTGACTATAGAATTGTGTATAGTTTTCATTTTTTTTATTTCTTTTTCCCCCTATTTTTGCATAACATCACTATTAGAGCATTTCTTTTTTAATTATGTTGGCTTTTAATTTTGAACAAGAAATCAAGATCCACAAATATCACAAAGAATCAAATGGGATTTATTGTAAAGAGAAATATAATTATCAACTATTTTTCTTCATTTATTTTACATTTTTACTGGAACTTTTTCCATCCCACTTCTCTTTCCACCACCTCTTCAATCTTCATTAGCAATGCTGCTTGTCTGCCTTTGTGTTTGTGTGCGTGTTTTCCTACCAACAAGTACAAGGAATAATCTACTTGCAGTGCTTGGAAGCACCTGCCAAACAATTTCTTGACATGTGCATCAGAGCATCAGAACCAAGCAAATGCTTTGCATTTAAGTAAATCATCAAGCCATGAGTACTGGAATCCCCAGAGAAGAACTTACAGCTGCATGCTCATTTTCGATGCCCTGATGATGCCATGAGAACCGCGACAGCCACAATGAACATAAACAACATGCTACCGAGCAATATATATGTTCTTCGTGATGATCTTCGGTATTCTCCAAACAAAAGTATGCCCCAAAATGTGCTCACAAGTGGAAGTGCCTGGTATCACCAACCAAGTCTAGATGAATTAAGCAATAACATATGAGCAAAGGCACATCTGTTAGCCCAGAAGCCTTGTAAAAGAAGCAAGGTATTCGATATTCGTGTAGATAATTTTCTTATGCTATGAATGAAGATTGATGTCATGTATTTTTATGGTCTTAAACATGAACAGAAAGTACCTGAACAGCATCTGCTGCTGCATATCCTGCAGCTTGGCCTCCCATAAACTGGAGACCATTCCCAAACCCACACAGTAACCCGGCCAAAAAGGCCCAGCCTCTGCCATTCCAGTCATTGAGATAAGCCTTAAATGATGATCTGGGCAAGTCTAATACAGGGCGGTAGAGGAAGGTGATATTTAGGACGAGGGCAAGTACAAAACAGGAGACTGAAAAGTAAAAAAATGCAGTATAGACAACCAACTTGGGAACCCCTTCCTTCAAAGTGTGCCATTGATCATTAGTTGCCAGGTTGAATGCTGGTGAGAAGAGAGAAAAGCAAACACCGGCGAAGAAAGTTATGGCCAGCCCAATGAAAGTGCTCTTCCCAAACACCTGCAAAGAGAGTCAAACCAATTGTTAGAGAAAGATTTATATCGGATATATATATGCAAGGCATTATGATCTGTCCACTTTAGTTGCCTTATAGTTCTCTTGAATAGCTGTCAAATTGTATAGCTTTCCACATTACTACATAAAATTGCAAGAGTAGAGGGCCACATTTTTTGCAGTTCTAGACCATTGAATGAAGAAAGTAGAACCTCCAACCTTAATTGCTCTCCTGTTCTCTAGCTCTACAAGGAAGTCAGCAGTTCCTGCCTTTGCCTTCTCTGTAGTGCCATTCCCATTCTCCAGATCTTCTAATTCTGTTCACTAATTAAAGCAGTCTTAGAAAACGAAGTGAGCAGTAAGTAACAAGGTAGGATACTAAAGCTTTGTACCCTTATTTGTAGTTGCCTCTTTTGATGCGGAGGAATATCCAGCCCTGCAATAAGAACAATTTTGTGGAGCAAAAAGAATATACTTAGTAACTTGTACGCAGGCACTAGAGGTTTTAAACATGTCAAAGTGTTCTATATGGTTCTTTCACATTACTTATTAGAGGATAAAGGACAAGTGAATTCTACTCCAGGTGAGAGTCAAGTATTTGGATTAATGAAGTATTTAATCCTTGGAGATGACGCAGTGTAGGCATCTGGAGATGAAATTGACCAGTAAAAGGCTAGCATTTGGGCAAAACTACCTAACGGATTAATTTATTCTACTTGGAGCGCACTACAATGACAATCATCTTCTAGACTACAAAATCTCTAGCTAGGGCAAAACATGGTGCACCCTAAGTTGCATATCATCAATGCTTATCCTTCATTCTTGTGTCAAGACAGAAAACCTCAGCCCATCTCATACTCAAAATGCCATTAAGGGTCCTGCTCAACCTTGTCTGCGAGGTGAGCTTTTTCTGATGCAGGAACTTTGCAAACCTTATTATTAAACCATAACGGGCAGAAGTTATATGGTATAAGCTCAGGCATAAAAGCAAACGACAAGGGTTAAAAGGGGCATTTGAAACTTGCAAAAGCAAACTCAAGTATCAGTTCTGTAGCTACAGAAAAGCTGTTCAACTGGTTTTGCAAGCCACGATTAGTTTCACTTCTGATTAATATTCATTAGCTTCCATTAAGAACAAAAACAAAAAGAACTAGAAGAAAGCTGCCTGTATGATTAATCACTGGATCCAAAATGCTGCAATGTTTTAGGTAAAATAGTTAAATCATTTAACACATTTAGATATTTATTGAAAAAGAGGCGTACTTTCTAAGTTTGTTGAGCTTTGCTTTATTATCTGCAGCATTGGACGAGTGGACAGCTGATCCAAGACAAACAGCTATTAAGAAGCAACCGACACCTGGGAAAAGGATTTCAGCTCTATTGATTTTGTCATCTAAGAAATAATTCAAGGTTGTGCCTGTTGAATCAAAACAAAGTAACTATAATTAAGGAATTCAAAAATTAAGTTATGTTAGCATTCATTAAGAACTTATGAAGGCATAGAGACACAGACCTATAACAACAGTAATGCTCGCAGTGATCACTTCTGTCACTGACAAACCAACAAAAGCCCAAGCATACTGTGTAGACAAATTTCCAAGGCTGAGAACCACCCCACCGGCCATTGCAAACAAAACGGAGGGCCAATTATCCTGCATTAATCACCAATGAAGATTCAAATCCAGTTATAAGTAATAAAACACCTTTGCTAATGATAATCAAGTATGCTACAAGGCTATATCAATCACATCAGAAATATTCCAGTTATAAGTAATAAAATACCTTTGCTAATGATAATCAAGTATGCTACAAGGCTATATCAATCACATCAGAAATATTCCTTGCCAACTACAAATTTATCACATCAGAAATATTCCTTGCCAACTACAAATTTACTTAGGAAATGTGCAAAGGCGCTCATTCTCTCTCTCTTTCTCTCTTTCTAACTCAGACAACAACATCTTATTATCCATCTCTCTGCTTGAAGAATCCAACTTTATGCTACTAGAAACACTGAAATTCCGGATTCTAAGTGATCATAACATAATGACCATTTGTTCTTTACCTAAACATTTTAAGTTGTCTTTCATCTAGCCACTAAGTATTCCATTAAGGGCCATCCGTCACTTTAGCTAGGCTACTGAATTTGCAAGTGTCGCTACTATTCACAGTTATACAAAATAGTTTTGTCATTATTAGGTAATGACAGAGGTGAAGGGAACATCAGGGCAATTCATCTTCTATTATCAGCATTGAATAATAATCCAACTTTACATTTATATTCAAATAACAGATTTTACCATCTTTTATATATTCAAATATTTAGTTCGATAGTCTAATTTTTTTCTGTTATTGCTACATTCATAGTCTCAGTTCCACCCTTAATATGAAGGAAACTCACCTGGGAAAGTTGAGCAATAAAATTTGGCTGCTCTGGGCTGCTCTGGCCAATTTCACCAAATGTTAAGGCTATAACTATAGCAGCCAAGAGATTTGTCAGAGTATAATCAAGATAAGTATGTTGAGGAAGCCGACCTCGTCTTTCTAGTAGTGTCATGATAGCAGGCCATGTGCCCAAAAAGAACAGAGCCAGCAGCATGCAGGCTATGGCACCTCCTTTGCTTTCCACCAGATACATTTTCAAACCACTACAGATAATCCTCTCAGTTGGCACAGAGATCACGGATGCAATGCCTGGAAAATCCTGTAACAAAGAAGCAGTCTTGGTATCTTACATAGCCTTTTGTTTGGTCAAATTTAGTAAATTTACTGACCTGTTAAGCCCTATATGGACTTTCTCTAAAATCAAGGAACCCCAAAATTACACACCAAAGTGAGACTCCAAGCAGCTGGCATTCGATCAAGATAACAAACTATTCCAAAACAAGAAACCTTCATCTAAGCAAGCAGGCAAAAACACAGATCTGGAGAGGGCAGTCCACTCAGTAAAAGTAGATTGGCCACCACAGAAATGACTGGTTGAGAGCTCATATTTCAGAAAATAAGGCAACAAAATTCCCAGAAAAGAAAAAACCAATTCAAGGAAAGAAATGATGTAGAATGTGCAAGCAAAAAGGCTGCAAAGCAAGAATAGCCTGAGGTAAAAGAGATCCAGAACAAGAATTCAAAAGTCAACTGAACAGAAGTCCCACAGCAAACTCAAAATTTTCCAAAGTATAAACATCATATTTCTTCAAAATTACTCACTCACCATATGCAAATAACAGAGCAAAGCAAAGAAGAGGGAAAAGGAATCCTAAACATAGGCAACTAAAAACCTAAAGGGTGCAAAAACAAAAAACCAGAAGGAACAAATCCATTGTTACTTGCCATCCCAGTAGGCCACCACCAAAAGCAACCCTTGAGATACGAAATCATATTAACTAATAAAAAAAAGCCAGTAGGCCATACACAGTCACACATCACATTCAGAAACCCAACAACCCAATAAGCTTGGAAAGTATGAATCTTTTACCTTAAACAACTTATTGCGTCAGAAACTTTCAGAGAGCGGCCGCAAAATGAAGCCTGCAACATTCGCAGACTGAAGGAGACCTTGGAAAAATAAAAGGAGCAAATAACAAAGAAGCAGAGACAGGTCAACAATGGGAAAAGGCCGTAGTGTGGAATCTTGGAAAGAGATTCTCCGGGATTCAAAACTCAGTTAAAGCAAATCATGGATCCTTGCACGTTGGTTGGTAAGCTCAAAGTCAATCTGTAGTTAGATGTTGAATATTTGGTTGGTTTACGCTCGCCCATGCATTGAATTACAATATTGAATAATATAATATACTCCGTACTTATATTTGAACAATTAATTATTATTATTTTCCAAGTCATGTGGCATGATTAGGAATTTTTTTACTTCAAGAAATAAAAATTTAAATCTAATTCTCTAAACGAATATATATACTAATTATTTAGTTAAAATATTTATACGTCAAATTAAGATCAATTAACGAGGACAATTTTATCTCATGCATATTCAATGAACTAGAATATGGAGCAATATAGCATGATCACACAAGATCAAAATTTTTTTTCTGTTTTAAGAATAAAAATTTAAATCCAATTCTCTAAAGGATGAATATATATTAATTATTGAATTAAATATTTATATATTAATTAAGAAGATAATTTTGTTCTTGTACCCTCAAACATAGTCAACATTTTTGACAAGATATAGCCTATAGGTTTGGCTATAAAAGAAAAATGACGGTGAATATGGAAGTATTTAAATTACCACGTGATTACCGCAACGTGATGGTGCATGCTTTGACAATGATAGAGAAGGGATTGGTGTATATGGTTGGGGCTTTTCATGGCTGTTTTGTACCCCAAAAATAGAAAATAAAAATATTATTGCCAATTTATTTTTTAAAGAATATTCCTAAATATAAATAAATTGGGTAGTTATGGATTGAAAATATTTTAATAATTTATTAAGTAAAAAACTATTCACGAAATATTACTTAAAAATAAATAAAGAATAAAGAAATATTGACAAATGATAAAAGACGACAATCCTCTATGCTTCGATCATTTCATAAATCGTGATGAACAATACAAGTCACTTGAAGAAAAACCAATGAAGATATTGACAACAGAAACAAAGAGGAAAAGAAAACCACCACATTTTACAGATGAAACCAATGAACAAATGTAGAAGATTTTCTGCCTTTAGTTTCTGCTAACCAACCACCACATTTTACAGATGAAACCAATGAACAAATGTAGAAGATTTTCTGCCTTTAGTTTCTACTAACCAAAAGCATTATCAAGAATCCCTCCCATATACTAGCCGGGTAAAAAGGATGATTACCCAAAAAAAAATTTTTTTTTTTTCTATTCTATGTTGGGTGTAAGGTGTATTGACCATTTCACTTCATGGCATTTATTGAAGCTTAAGCATGTGACTTTACTTGCCTCTCAATAGGCACCTGTGGGGTCGCATTCTGAAGGAAGTAGCCAAGAAGCCTTTGATCCATAACCATATTGGGTATCTGCAGAACAAAAAATGAGCCAGACTCGCAGAGGAAGACAGTGAGACAAAAGTGAGAAAGATCAAACCTTGTCCCCGAAGAAAATCTTTGTATTATCAGCAATGGCCTCGATGAATTTGAGCTCAAGAAATTCTGGGGTCAGCTTCAACTTGTTTGCTTCAGCTTCTTTCAATACACTGAATAATGGAGAAAGGGGAGCAACATCAACACCAGTGCATTATTGTTTCCCATATTTCTTCATCAAAGTTAAAAACAATAGAAGTAATTAAGATGATTTCACCGGTAAAAACCAGCATCTGCTAGACTCTTTTCACGAGCAATGTACATTTGGTTCTCAATTTCCTGCTGCCTCCTGGCACTCTCCTTCTCCATCAGCTTCTGTTCCATTAGGATCTTGCTAACAGTGGCAGTCTTCTCAGCTTCACTAATAGCCATCTTTTTCTCTGTCTCTGACTCTTTTTCTACTACTTTTTGTCTCTCAATAGATATTAATACCTGCGCAATAGCATTATATAGATTGATCGTTGATGTAAATCACAAAATTATCAAAAACATACTAAGCAAGCAAAGCAGTAACATTATGCGCAATAGAAAGCTATACCTTCGTGCGTTCCTCTTCCATTTGTTCATAATTTCGTCTAATGCTCTCAGGTATGGTGGGCTTTGTAACGCGTACACTAAGAATTTCAATTCCTGGTGCATAGCGTGTGCAATCACCCTGAAGAGCATCTTTCATCTTTTCATCTATCTGAAACAATCAAATATATGATTTGGCTCATTAAACTTTAAAAGTTCACTGAACTAATTCTAACTGACCTGAAGGAAAAAAATTATTACAAGCACAGGAATGTAAAAGAAAGAAAAAAGTTTCATGCAGCACAGCACCATTGACAACTCAAGGTTATTAAACAACATAAAAAATAAGCTTAAGGTACTTTAACAGGTGAAAAATAAGTCTTCTTATTTTTTTTAAAAAATCAGATAATATCAAACTCCCAAAAAAGAACTCTTCAATGGGCTTAGGATTCTGTGATGCCTTAAGTTGCATCATATATATCAAAGAAAAATGGCATTCCAGATTGAATACACTTCATGTATCATGTAGTGCATGGGTGAAAGGGACTGACCACCTCAAGCCTTAGAGAGTATGGTTCAGTTTGCATCCTTTCTTACCTGATCAAACACATCTATATAAACTTGTTGAAGAGTATGAGAGCTGCAAAACTGATTGATCTCATGATGAATCTTGTCATATATCCATGTTTTGTCATAATGAACACCATAGTTGAGCAGCGTCTCATACACATAGTCCTTTCGAAGCCGATTGACAACCTGAAACAGATGTAAATTCAAGCAAATATCAATGACGAGAAGAAGCTCAGAACTTAAAACTACTCAACTACTATGAATTAAGAGCAGTACAAAACATCACCTCTATCTTTTCAAAGTTGATCATGACACCCCCTTTAGTACCACAAGGGATATCCTTCACCTAATTTAAAAATGGAAAAAAGAAATAAGACATTATTATGAATTAAGTCCAAATTATACACCATGTTCACAATGTAGGCAAAAAATTTTTACCTGATCTGTTTGAAGGGTAACTAGAACAGGTTCATACTGGGTTATCAGAGGCATCTTCAAATGGAAACCTGGTTATAGTATATATATAAGAAAGACTGCACATACCAGCAACCAGCTATTGTAAAATATTAAAAAGAAAGACCCAATCCTAACCTGGCTCTGTTATTCTCTTTAGAAGAGCACCTCCCCTCCAATACACACCTACATGACCTTCTGGGACTTGATGCAAAACGGATAAGGTATTTTTAATATTTGAAGAAGAAGGAATCATTGCCTGAAAATCTCATTGTTACACCACATGTACTAAAGTGATTTTTTTAACAAATAATCTTGCAAATTCATTTGAGGTTTCTACAATCTAAGAAGCAAGAATTCTCCAGTTGAAGAGCGTAAAGGAAGTTGTTGCCTTTCATATAAACTACTAACATTGATGTTCAGATCATTGTGCAATTCTTAAAAATAGATCAAACTGATTCAAGTCAGGCCTCACCAATCTTAAAAGAAGGAGAATGCTAAAGCAACTATGTTTGTATGAGAAGTACGCCCAACAAAGAATTTACAAATAATTAGTTAGACAAAATTTCTCAAAAAATAAAGAAAGCTCTAGGCTAAATCAAGCAAGGGCTTGAAAACAGACTTGGTACCAAAAATAAAAGAGCTTAAGATTGTGAAGTGATGTTATATCACGTGGATGAACTTATGTCCACCATGTCAGCTACGGTTGAATGCTTAGCAGAAATACTTAAATCAACTCAAAAATACATTCAAACTTGATTGAATCAATGAACCGATCAGAATCTAATTAAAAACTCCATAAACTTAGATCGATATAGACGAGAGTATACATATAGAATTAATGCGGAGAGAGAAAGCGGTTACCGAGGAGGCGATAACAATGAAGGCAAAGACGATCACGTTGATTAGAAAAGAATCAACACTTTGAGCTGGACGAGGCTGAGGCGGTCGCGGTGACGGTGTAGCTGCTTCTCTCTGTTGCTGTGGATCCATGGCGGTTAGAAATATAACAGTATAGTAAACAAAATGAGAACTAAATTTGATTAGTCATTCATAGTGTGCGTATATATATATATATATAGGTGAAGCTGCTGCTTATACATGATCAGATGAATGTCGACCGTTGATGTTGCATACGTGGAGAGATGGTAGCTTCGGAACATGGTCATGATACGGGTGAAGCCGAAAGCGTTAAGACCATGAGATTCATGGGATTGGACTGTAGTGTTGAGCGTTGATTCCTTTCCTACTCGTAGAAGCACCGAACTTTAGAGGAAAGTTTCGGGGCAATGAAAGGAAAAAACAAAAAAATTTTCTTTTCTATGAAATGACAAGTGGTTTTTAATTAATAATAATTTATTTAATTTTTTTTATAAAATTTTTAAATATTATACTAATAAAGATTTTGAAAATATTTTTTTGCTTAATCCAAAAAATTGGATAATTCATATCCCTTTTCCCTATAAAATGTAAATAAGATTAAAGATGCAAATGAATTAAGCTAATTAAGTTAATTGTGCTCATTTTTTACTTAAATAATAGTCAAGTTCAACTTATTCACTATCAAGTTGAGCTCGATTTAAAGCCGTTTGAGTATAAAATTGAGTTGAAGAATTCATGCTCTTTAAATTTTTTTAGGTATTTTTCTCGAATATAAATAATTAAATTTTATCAAAGTGAGTTTAAATAGATGTATTATTAGTCAAATTAAATTTAAACATAAAAAATAATAATAAAATTAAATTAAATTTAAATATTATATCGACATTGTTTTGTTTTTCCAAATAAAAACATAACACCATTCTTTATTCAAAGAACGGAAACGTCCTTCCCTAACCTGCTCTACAACACAAGCAATCAGAAACAACATGGTAGAAGAAAAGGGCATGGATCCAATTCCAATGACTACCGTATTTGGACCAATAGAAAAGAAGAAAATTTAAGTCGGACCAGAATTAGGTGGAAACGATTAATGTAATTCCAGGCAATTTCCTCTTTTTTTTCATGAAGAAAATGTATTAAACTTTGTTTGTTTTTTTGTTTTTGGTGAAGAAACAGAGGAAGACAGAGGAGATATAGTATTCGTTTGAACTTACTTCATTTTTGCGCGGGATGTTCCTGGCATTGACCACTGGTTAAAAATGGAAATCGTTAATACACGCGCCTTTGGCTCGCGTGAGGAAAATTCTCCATTATCAAATCTGTTAAAGTCAGAAGAGTTAAAGGTGTGGATTCCGGATTAATATGACAGTTGGGATTGTTTAAGTGGTTTGATTCATTTGGAAGTTGATCTTGATTTTTGTCGCCTCTAGTTTTAGTCTAAATTGCATGGCTGTCAGTGCGTGTTGGGGATCAGTTACGAGCATGCACCACTCACTTCATAGAGCAGGGTAAAGAAAAATGCTGACCCTCACGGCCAGCCCCATGCCGACGTTGTTCCCGAAACGCAAAATCCAACGGCGGGGCCGATTCGCCATTCTCGCTGCGGATGAGTTCCCTCCATTTCTACCGAAACAAGTGGAACAAATCAAAGACCCGTTTGCTCGAAAACTCGCCACCCGAATCGAGAGACTGCCCGTCAAGGTTAGCTTCTCGGAAAGTAGGATTATGAGTAGTTGTGTGAAGCCATTGGTTCAGAGCAAGCAAAGTCCATTGGTTCTTCTCCATGGCTTTGACAGGTCTCTCTCTCTCTCCTTCTTTCTTCTTGAAATATACTTAGTTTAGAATTGATAACCAGATGAAGTTTAATTAGTTTGTATCTGGGATTCACCAATTTTCTTTATTGCCATTCAGTTCTTGTCTAGAATGGAGATACACATATCCATTGCTTGAGGAGGCTGGTTTGGAAACTTGGGCTGTCGACATTCTTGGCTGGGGTTTCTCTAATTTAGGTTTGTTTTGCTTTATTTTTATGTTATTGGACCTTCAAACAACTTATGGTTCTGATATTGGTTTCTGTTCTTTCTCCCATTATTTATTTTTATTGCTAGAAAGACTTGGGTCTTGTGATGTGCAGTCTAAGCGTGAGCATTTCTACCAGGTACATCTAACATCTTGTTACCTCAAGAATGTTTTCAATTCATCGATTGACATAGGATTAAGCAGTAAGATAATTAACATTGGGTGACGTTATGTAAAAGTGGTAGTTGTATTGAGATTGGAGTTCAAGAATAACATGCAAGATTAATGAGTTTGTTGGTAGCAATGCAAGTGTTAGCATAAAGAATCCAATATGTTGAGACTACACTGGATCTCTGTTATACAGCTTTGGAAGTCATACATCAAAAGGCCGATGACATTGGTTGGACCAAGCCTGGGCGCCGCGGTTGCAGTTGATTTTGCAGTCAACCACCCAGAAGCTGTGAGTGTCTTAGACAACTGTGCTTATGATTTATGCTCCATTAGATTAGTTGGAGAGTAGAGTTATAGTTTGATATAAAAAAATTGCTAATTAAATGCCTCTGATGCTCCGTGAAACTCATGAACTTTAGTTAGTTTATTTCAGGTTGAAAATCTTGTTTTGATCGATGCAAGTGTATATGCAGAAGGCACGGGAAACCTAGCAACGCTACCCAGAGCAGCAGCCTATGCTGGGGTTGGTCTTCTTCGCAACTCATAAAAGCCTTGAATCTCAATTGTTATAGCAAATCCAAGCTGTTTTTAGTTGCCTGTGTCATTTAGTTTTCTCCAGTTGAAATTTTTCTAGGACCACTTTTTGTGTTGTGAACAAGCTTTTCCCTTGTTAGGGTGTCAACTAAATTGTTCCGGAATTTCTTTTTGTTCATTGTGCCTCCTCTTTAACTGAATCTTTCATCTTTGTGGTAAAGACAACAAAGGGTTTTATTAAACTTCTAGTCTCTGTTGTTTGAAAAAAAACAACCTTTCTATGCGATACATGCATATACTTTACAACAATTCTTGTTTGTGCCCTTTTTTTCCTTTAGGAGAAGGGGAAGGGCATGTTAAAGAGTTATTATATTGTACATTAGTGCTATAACCATAGATTTTTGTGAATTAGGTATCTCTATTGAAGAGCTTCCCGCTACGCTTATATACAATCTTTTTGGCATTCAAGGGTACATCATTCAGCACCAGTTTGGACTGGACTAATGTAAGTTCTCCTGGCAAAATGATGCTAAGCAATGTAATGCTTATTCCTGGAAACTAGAACATTTTAGGATTTTGAAGGTTGAAGGGGAACTTAATACCTATTCCTTTCTTGTAATCCTGTCCAGATTGGTCGTTTGCATTGCCTGTATCCTTGGTGGGAGGATGCAACTGTGAATTTTATGATTAGTGGTGGTTACAATGTCAGCAGACAGATAGATCAGGTCTGTCTATTGGGGCTATTTCACAGGGATAAGTATGAGTATTGACAGGCTCATAGTATTCAGTTCTATTGTTTAGTTTAATTTCATTTGAGTAAATTTTCTTATCATCTCCAAGAGGGAATGTTGTGTGGCAGCTATGACATATGACCTTGATATCAAACTTGACTGATCATAGTAATGTGGCCTCCTCTTTTGTCTTGTCATCTTTTCGATAACCCCACTTCAGAAACTACTCTGATACACAATCAGAGAAAAATTCTTGAGAACAAATAAAACAGATGGTAGCTCTTGCCAATTTTATTGATTTCCTTATGAGGAGGGAGTCATGTTGGATGTTTCCCAGGTCCTCTGAAGTGTTATATGCATTTGATGAATATGAAATTAAAGGATATATCTTCATTTTGAGTTTCGTTAGCAAATGCTTAGCAATCCTTCTGAATAACAAATAAATGACTACAAATCTGCAGCTTTTCATGCAACTTCTGTAAAATTCTTCTACAGGTGAAGCAGAAGACACTTATCATATGGGGTGAGGATGACCAGATTATTAGCAACAAGCTAGCAGTGGTTAGCAACTCAACATTTTGTCAAAATTTTGCTTCATATAGGCATGAGAATACCATAAAGAAGTGGCCAATTCATTCACTTTTGAGACGTGATTGAGAAATAATGCTGTGAAACTCACTCTTGCTGCAGTTAGAAAGTTAAAAATGACGTTATTTTTCCAATTGCTTTGATGCAGAGATTGCATTGTGAACTGCCAAACTCAATTATACGCCAGATACCCGATTGTGGTCATCTTCCTCACGTGGAAAAACCAGATTCTGTTGCCAGAATAATCTTGGAATTTGTGCAGGATTACTGCCAAAAAGAGGCTCAGTTTGTCCTAATGTAATGAAGGTGTATATTCTGCCTCTCTGCTTCAACCATATTCAGATTGGGTTTTCGCTGTAATGCTTGATCTGATCAGTCTTACCTGCAGTTTTAATGGTCATAACATTTGTCACTTTTGTAAAGGGTTAACAGTTCTGATTTCATCTATTGTACTTCAAAAGCAGCAAGTGATCCTTCCAACATTTGTCACTTTTGTCTTGGCAAAAGATTATGTGAGATAAAAATTTCATCATAGTCGTTTTGCTTCCTAAGTCATATGGCTTGACAGAAGTTGCTCTGTGTTTTGACAAAAATCATTGCTCACCTGTTATTTCATTCATTTCCTGACTGTTTGCTTGCTTCTATCTAATGGTTGGGTTAACCTAAAGAATCGTCCGATATGAAATGCATTATTTAACAGGCTTGACACCAAAATGCAGTATCTAACAGGCTTGACACCAAAATTCCATGGGAATCAGATGCTCAGAAAAAAACAGGCACGAGATCAGTTTCTTTTCTTAACCCATTAGGCCTTTTGTCATCGCTCCAATTCTTTCAGTGTGCTTGTAACCGAACGGTTGGTAGGTGGTTCACAAGTCACAATCTCAAGCTCCCACCCATGGCCTAGAAAATACATTAATAAATCTACAAAGTTTGGCCATGCGCGTCAAATGTCCAATAATTCTGCTTCAGGTACAGTCACTATCTACCAATTCAACAAAAACACCAGTCTTACTACTTATTGAAGATTGATATGAATAAACATTCGAAACAACCTTTATTTAAAAAACAAATGGGGGTCACTTGGAATGATAAAAAGTGACAGTAGTAGTTGCAGTTTTTAACCAGTAGATAAGAACCCATATTTTCATTAAATTAAAGAAAAAAATAGTGCCTCTCTCTAGATATACAGAAAGAAAAATCTAACAAAGCAGTGATCAGGTTCTTCTACTACTACTGCAATAGCAGTCATATCACTGCTCAAAAGTGGGAATCAAATTCCAAAGCTTTTTTCACATAGGCAAGGAGGAAACAAACAAAAAAGAAAGAGAAAAAAAGTCCTAGTGGGGCGTGGGGTCTGATTCTAGTAGATGATCCCTACCTACACCAATGTGAATCAACACAGTCCTGGCAAAATCTCATCCGCCCATCAACAAACCCTAGCACTCTCCCCTCCCCTCTCCTTTTTCTACAGCCTTCAAATCCAAGACAACCCTACAATCCAAAGGGTCATAACAACAGAGAAGAACAGGTTAGTGTTTCTGAACACAGACACTGCATCACTTGGCTCATTGATGCCTGCGGTTCCTGTTGGGCCAAGGGTGGTGCCACCAAAAACTGTAGGAGTCCCAGTGGTTGTGCCGGTTGTTGTGCCTGGGGTTGTCCCTGTGGTTGGGGTGGTGGAAGGAGTTCCAGTTCCAGTTGTTGGAGTGGTGCCCGTGCTACTGCAGAATTTAGCAGAAAAAAATAGAATGTTTCAATACTTGACTGTTAAAAAAAGCAGCCCTGAATCTGATGGATTAGAAAATTTTTACAAACCCACTAGAGCAAAACACAATCATCCAAAGGAAGCAAAATGGAAACATACTAACATGAGAATATAACAGATGTCCAGCTGAGATTTGGAATCACAAATATTTTGATTTTGATAAGAAAGAAGACAAACAACTTCTGAAATATCAACATCATGACAGCTCACAGCTGTATGATGCAGCCAGGCCTCCTTGTAAAGAAATCAAAGCAAAAACGATTCAGCTATTTGGAGGGGGGAAGGGGGGGCCCGGGGCTAGATCTACCCTTTACTTTAATTAATCAATATCTAAGTTATTTAATGAAAATTGACACAGTTGCTGTATTCTGCAAACTGCTTCTGAAAGCAAAACCCGGTTCAAATCTACTATGTCGGTTGTACCGAACAGAGAAATCCCAAAGCTAAAACAAAAGAGGAAAAACTAAGAGGAGAGTTTGATTTTTCATCAAAGTGGCAGATTCTAGTTTTGACATGCACAGGTTTCACTGGAACATATCAGAAGGAAACTTCATTAGATGTGAAAGTGATTTTGAAACCTCACTGCAGAATCAACACTCTAATGAACATACCTTGCGGGAAAGTTACAAGTAGAAGCAATATCTGCAAAAAACCAGAAAGAAAAATTGTACCAAAAAGAAAATCAGGAAATAAATCACAAAAATGAAAGGAACGAGGAAAGAAATGAACTAATATTTAGAAACAGAAGGGATAGGCCCTTGGACTTACTGCTTGGAGGATTGGCACTAACTGTAGCAGTGCCTGAAAAATCACAGCTTCCTGTAACTTGACCTTTCCTTTGGAAAAAACTATTGACAGCATAGCTACAGTGGTCTTTCACAGTGTTGGGATTATAGCAACCACCATTTTGAAGGATTGCAGTACAATCAGCTCCAGCTCCACAAGCATAATCCAGGGTCTTTTGGAGAGCTTGGTCGCCCACTCCATCTTTACATAAGCAATAAGTAGCACCTGTAAAAAGAAAACAGAAACACCCCGAAATCATAAAAAGTTAGCTTCTAACAACACATGAAAACCAATCAAAAGCTGAAAAGATTCTCTATGAAAAATGGATTTTTTTTTTTTGAATTGAAACAAGAAAAACACTCAAATATATTCTCTATGAAAATTCTTTACAATGAAGATGGAAAAAGTTTAAATCTTTAAGAAGCCATCTGTACATTTCTGAAGCCAAGAAGAGAACCCATCTTAGAAATCTTGACATATGACAACTCAAAAACCTTACAACAAATCTAGAGTTAAAAAAGCAGAGAAAAAGGAGGGGAAAAAATAGAAAGAAAATCACAAAAACCAAGAAGCTTACTTGAATGGCCCGTCATGGCCAGGAAAAGCACTAGACAAATTAAAAGAGCCATGATTGATGCAAGATTTGGAGGGGAAAATTTGAAGAAATTAACTGACTTTTAAGATAGTTGGCTGAACTTGAAATCCGGAGAGCAGAAAGAAAAAAAAATAAAAGAAAAAAAAGAGAGAAAGAGAGAGTGTGTGTAAAGAAAGAGAGAATGGAGATTTCTAGACCAAACAAGCTACAAGAAGGAAAGTATGACGGTGTAGTGTTTGGTAATAGTGGCTGTCTGCATCTGATGTATAAGGCCCCTTTTATTAGAGTGAACATATGTCTTAAAAAGCAACCTGGTATTTATTGGATATTTTAAGTGTTCTGGGGAACTGAGCAAAGCCATTAAAAAAAAAAGCTTTTTCTCCATGGATTTGACTGTTTTTTTTCCAGTTTTTTTATGTATCAATGTGCCATATACTGCATAGCCCCATGCTTTTCCCTCAAACGGTCATAAACTCATGTGAAGGATCAAAACTTAACTTAACCCCCAACCTGGTTTAGGCTGGTTCTGTGAAAGTGAAGGTGAGGGCTGAGGGTCCTACCGTTGGGGGACCCTTTTTTGAGACCTTTTATCAATCTGCTGTCACCATGACTGTCCGGTTCCTCCTTGTTCACCTTTATGAACTTCGATTCTACCTTGTACATTGTACATGGGACAGCTCTCGTTTTGCTTCCCTGGTTTCTCATCCTCCATGTAACCCCATAGGAGCCATGTTTAAGTGTAAACTGTTGCTAAATGATGATAAACATAAACATAGATATAGTTAGTAAACAGATTAGAAAATTTTCTTGTATTCTTGGTGAAGTTCTTGCAAGCTTTTACTACATGGCCCCATCAACATTGATCCTGGTTGATGTATGGAGCAGGCAAAATTTGACACGACAATGATGTTCAAGAGGCCTTTTGCTTTTTGCCTAGTAAATTAGGCACATGATTCTGGGGGTTTCAAGAGCCTGGACCTAGGAGACCAAGCTGCCTAGGATCACATTCATACTCTATGAATCTTAAGACTTGTTCCTTTGCAAAAAAGAAGATTAAATTTTTAAATATTGAGGAGTTTTAAAGCTAGCTTTTGCATTACAAATTCATTGAATTATATATCAGCCCTACGTTGGAAGCTTTTGACCAAACTACCGTGCCATTTGGCTTTTACCATCAGCACCATCACACGCCACCTAGAGGCCAAGCAATGAAGAAAGATCAAGGAAAAGTAAATTTTTACTTGTTTGGTACAAAGGAAAGCAGATGGGAAAAGGAAAATCCAAATGATCAGCCTATGACAATGCTTTAATAACTAACAAGTACAAGAAAAAAAAAGGGTTTTCAATTCTCTTATTTTCTTCCCTAAGCCAAACACACACACACATATATATATATGTATAAATTTAATGTGGTGAAGAAATGAAAATTGAGAGAGAAAGGAAAAAAAAAAAGAAGAATTTTCCAATCTTTCAATCTAATGTTGTTTTCATTTTTCTATTATAAGATATGATAATAATGATATGAATAATTCGATTTATCATTTTATATATTTTCTTTAAATTTCAAATTATTTAACATAATGATTTGATATATACATGTAAGAGAATGTACATGACCGTAACTCGCTTAATGCTAATAAGTAATTAGAATACTTTCAAAATATTGAATTCTTTTAGGTACATGGCTTTAAAATAAAGACTCAATTTTCTTTAACTAGAAACATTTATATATGGTATGGTAGTAGGGTACTCTCCATGTTTGGTGGGATGTCAAAGCTTGTGAGCTTCAATGCATTTAATTTTTCATTGAAACATTTGTCTAGGAATCAACCTAAATTATTAATTTCCCTTTGCCATGTGTTGAATTTTTAGACTATGATTCTATGTTTATTTTTTATATATCATCATTTATATTATTACGTAATCACGAAATATCATCTCATAAATATATTAAATAATAATATTATAAATATTATACATTAACAATACATCAAATATAAATCTGATCACTTTTACTATTAGTTTTGCAAACAACATTTCTTTTCCTTTTACTTCCATTTACTTTAAAGTTACAAATTTTCTATTCCATTTAACAAATTGCACTACCTTTTGTAATCTTATATGTTGCTTTCCATAGCCACCTTTAATTGATTTAATCCGAGTTCCTATTTGCTTATGATGGGCAAGAAAGTGATTTTGACAAGGTTAGGAGCCCAAATCAATCCTTGATTGAGTTAAAATGAAGTTTTAAAATTGACTTCGTTGCATAACTACTAACATTAGAGAAGAGAATTGCCTTTCGGTTTCCTTATTTTGATATAATGAAAAGTTTTATATGGGTATTTGATTCAATGATATAATTTATCATATATGTATTTTTTATTTAAAAATTGTGATATAAATTCTTTCTTTTTCAAATAAAAAAAGTCTGAAGAGTCAAAAAATAATTTTTAATCAAAAACTTTTTTTTTTACATTTTAAAAATTAAAAATTGATACGTCGATCTCGATCTTTAAATCAAATGTTCAAATATTAAACATATTTATTAAAAAGTTATTCACATAACGGGTAAATTTTAATTTCTTTCGATCATGAGCTTTATGTGTTTAATTTTTTTAAAAATTTTGAAATATCATAAAATGTGACTAACACTTTTAAAAATCTATAAAAAATTTAAAAAACCTTTTGAAATGTAAATAGACTAATAATTACAGTTTTAATAATGGATAAGAAATCTTTCAAAAGTAAAAAAAAAACAACACCATGCTATCGCTATATGTACTATTTTATTTTATAAAAAGTTAAAAAAAAGAAGAAAAATAATTTTTTTATTATAAAGAAAGTAAAAGTAAAACGTAAAAAATCATGAACCTCCAATCTTTGGTTTGTTTTTTATTACCGTCCATATCTTGAACGCTCCAAACAATTATGGTAGCGGCTGTTCATGATATAGTGCTCATACCATGCAATGATTATGTACAAGTCAATTACGAAAAGAGAAAAAGGGAAACGTAATTGAATTAAAAATAATTATTATTTTTTATAATCGATGAAAATTTATTAACCTTGAATTACATAATAGGATGTACTTATTTCGCATTTAATAAAATTTTTATATTATAATTTACTATTTTTAATTTATTTAAAAAAATATTTAAACTTTATCTTAAAAGTAAAGAATACGTATATCTATCACCGAATCAAATGTTTAGAAATAAAATAAATCTTAAACTAGATAAAAAGATACCCAAAAATAATTCAAAAAAGGTAATAATACTTTATATAGTAGGAAACTTAGGACCTTGGCTAAACAAAGTTATAGAAGGCCGAGAGTTGTTGACTTTTCTACCAAGTGATTAGTGCTAATAATGAAGGAATAAGTTGATAATCAACAAGAATTGATGAAGGGGAGGGAAGGGATAGGGAAAGTGTTGCCTATGCTATTATACAATGGGGGATGGGAAGAAGCGAGCAAGCAGGTTAGGTGGGTGCCAAAAGGGAAAACACTTGGTGCAAGGAAGGGAAAAGGCCGTGGAAGAAGTAATCTTTTGAAATTTTGGGTGGTTGCTTTTGGCTCACTTTATTTGATCAGTCTCTAGAAATGTTGATTGGGGCATTGAAATTCCTTACCTGGCCCAAAAGGGAATCATTGGACCAACACAGCACAAAGAAACACTTTTAGCCTGATGCTTTCCACATCTCTCTCTGGCCTCTGCCTTTGCCCCCCTTTCTTTCTGCGTTTTTGTTTCCCAGACAGCATCTCCTTGCCCAGCTGCTTTTGTATCAATGGATCCTTCATTTTGATGAGGTTTTACCAACACGGTTGCCCTTTTGCTAACTGGGGAATCAATCTGCCATTTCAACTAATCAGTACAGGTATCACTGTTTTCTTATACTAAAAGGCAAACAAAAACATAATACACATTAAATGTGACGATTTAAAAACTGTTATCGATTATGTGTCATAGCATGAATTGGGTATTTAAATGTTCATATAATTTTTATTGTGAGGTATTTTTTGTAGAACAAAATTGTGATGCCTAATGAGTCAAAATAAGCAATATCTTACTAGTTAGTGTGGACTGTAACATTTAATATTATAATTAACTCTAAGATACTAACGATGTGTTATGGAAGACAATGGATCTTTATTGGAGTAGAAGAAGATATCATGATTTGTGTATTAAAGTAGTATTTGAGTGTCTATATCATCTTCAATTTGTGAGGTTTATTTTATAAGATAAAATTATAAAATCTATCAAATTAAAGTTGATAATATTTTATAAGTTGGTGTGGACCATGATGTTAAGAAACAGTAACTTTTGACCATATACATGAGAGATTAGAACTTACATAATTTAGCTAAGTGCCTTACTAGGGAAGAGATTATCTAATGAAATAACCTCGGATTAAATAATTCTAAGTACAGAATGTATGGTAGGCTAAAGAGACAGCAAAAATGTTAAGAGACAGCAAAACGTGTGCTGATATATTTTAATAATTTATGAGAGTAGATTATTCTCAGCTTTTCTGCAAATGATTTGGATTTTTAGCCAGGATTCTTAGGGTAAGGTTGGCCTGTTGAGGCAAAGCTGTACCAACCTCCCATACAGCTAAAGCCACCTAAGCTGTCTTTCTAACCAATTTATAGCTCCCAGGTGACACAATTATATGATCTGGCTAGGTTGATTATGTCATACGAATTTCATGAAGTTTCTCTTTGTCAGGTACTGGGACGTTTAACTTTTCAGATAAGGTTA